CGGTGCGCCTCCCGATGCACATCTCGCCAGATCGATCAATCGATCGATCTTAAACAGATCATTTCGCCTTGATCGCTGAGAGGCAACGGAACTTTTGATTTTTTCATCCCACATCTTACAAAATATCAAACTACGATTGTGAAATCCGCATTTCTTCATATTTCAGATAAACATAAGCTTCTAATAACAATAAAAAAATTTGTTTTTCTTTAGGAATTTCGAGTTCTAATGTTTGAAACATGAATTTATCATGTTTTTCTCAAGGAAGAGTTGAATAAATTCCGCGTCAATTTCACGATCCATACGACCGTAAAATATCTATCGGAAGAGAGATCAATGCGCCAACGTCCGTGAAAACCTTCTGGAGGATTTGAATAGTGAGCAGCTTTAGCGCGATTTACGTACCTTCATTATTTATGAATTCGCTGTTCCACGCCAGCTTTCGTCTCGCCTTTTCTTTTTCTTTATTCTCTGGCTCTCTTCTATTCTCGCGTTCCTGCAAACTCATTGTTTATGAATCCACGCTACTGGTCTGAGGTCGTGAGGATAGTCGTAGTTCGTCGAGTTCGTAATCCGACATTGTGCGAAAACGGTTTGAAAATTCCAAAGACACATAACGAGGAATCATTCCCAGAAAATTACTAGTTTTCGGTCGATTTATTTTCCATTCTTCTCTATTTTTTAAAATTTAAATGGTTAAATTAAAAAAAAAATTGTGCTTGATTAATGCCGTAGAAAATTAATACTGCCCAAGAACTTTTGCGATCTTTAACTTCGGAATCGAACGGATAATACATACGCGAACGGGTTATTTATTTAATTATAGGCGCCGTGTGTATCGCATATTCCGCTGGCACCTCATCGCTATTCACTGAGACGAGCATCACATTTCTCGGGTACTATGCACGCACACGAGGGTCTGCTTTTCGCTTTCATGTAAATCCCAACTGTGAGCAGTCGGATTCATCACGAAAGCGGATGCAGTATCGTGACGGGAAGCGCTTCGCCGAGAGGGTGTGAAGCGACCCCAGACGAAGAAATGATAATTTCTCTCCTCGCTGGCTCTTCCTATCGCAGCATCATTCGCGGGAGAGAAGGAGCGATGACGTGCGCTTGGCAGAAATAACAATCCTGCCTTTCCGTAAAACTTTTCCCCTTTCCCTTTCGCGGACGCTGGGGATGTGACCCAGCGAGGAACAATTTTCCTCACCGTCTAATCAGTTCCGCCTAGGTAACCATCAAAATTGACGCTCGCGAACATTGAAAATTGATGCATCCTGAGTTGATATGTTCATCGAGATATAATTGTTCGCAATGTTGTTTTACCAATTATAATTTTGATTTGTAAACGTACGAATTGGAAATTATACGCGCAGGAAGTACTAACGCCATCCAGCGAATGCTCGTCCCTATTGCCATCCTCTAGGAAAACGTGGGAAATAATAAAGAGAAACAAATCGCCGCCAAAGGAAATTCTCTCTAGAGAAGCTATTAATTCAAATGGCATTGATGTCACAAGAAGAAAATAAATCTACGTGTTTCAATAGCCGAGCTGCCGTGTTCCAACCTTCCTGATTCACACGCAACAATTCACGATTACGATCTTCTGCAGCTTATCTTGCGTTATCAATCGATTGCGATTTTTTTTTCGTAAAAGTAGCCGTTCGTAAAAGTACGTATCTATGAGAGACGCGAGTTATTTGAGAAGAATAATAAAATAACATAAGTGTACAGTTCGTCATGGTAATATATTCCTTTGCAACAGATGATGTACATGGAACGGATCTGCGAGAACCGTAAACGACCCTATAAACGCCCGATTCGTTCTCGAAAGGATCGCTTAACTCGTGACGTCGTAATTGAATCTTCATGGTCTCTCGAGAGTCTACCATAATTACGTAGCTGGGCTGTCATGAGACCTCTATGACGCTGCATTATCCGAAGATGACGATCATGAGGCGGTAATTAACCGTCCAGAGGAATTTGCTTGGATTCTAGTAAACGCTACGCGTTTAATTGTAATAATCATCGATAAAATTACTTAATAGTTAAATTGACGTTACATAAATATCGGAATGATTTTTCAACAACATCTTCTTCCCTTTCTCTTGCTTGCTTTAATCTCAAACATTCATGCCATTTCAAGGTATCATAAGCAAACGAAAGTGCCACGCGACCGTGATATCCTCATCAATACAACCCATAAGAGTATTCCCATTTCCTTTCTTCGCTGGATTACCTCAACAATCTTCCGTAATTTGCCTAATTGCACCCTGCATCGCAACGATTTCCATCGGAGTGGGATGCGTAATCAGGATCTTCGCTATCGAGGAACACATTTCTAGCAAAAAAGCGACTGAAATCCGGTAGGCGTGCGGTTCGCACAGACGCATCGCAGGATTACCGGAAGTGTCGATCTTCGCGTAGCAAACGCGCCTCGGGCATCAGCAGCGGCCTGCGAACCCGTCGGCCAGGTTTCTTTGGTGCTATAGACGAGACCGGTTGTGACGTAAAGGTCAGGGACTTTCGTTCGGGATAACTTTTCCTGGCCGGAGATGATGACGCGACGTGCACACGTGTGCGATCGTTAAGATCGTTCGGGCTACCGTATTGCATATCTCGATCACTGTCGACATCAATTGAAACACGATGAAAATATGTTCGGATCGTAGATAGTAATAAATAGAAAAATTTATTCCTATCTACGTTTGTTTTTTTCTTGTTCTAACAATCAGCGATAAAAAGAGAAAAAAAATTAATTCAAATATAATTATGCAGATCATTATCGATTATTTTGACAATTTCTTTATTTGTAGAATTTAGTTTGTAATTTTAATTCTACCGTTAATTCGCTTCTGTTTAGTATTATTAATATTCTGTCATGTGTATATATTTGTCACGTATAATATTATTTTATCGAGTATATCCAATTGCTCTTTTTAAGGTATCAATATTTGTTATTGCTTTTGATAAATATTATTTGCAAAATATGCACCATTTTATATATAATATATTTTTGTATATTTTAACATATTTATTTTCTGAAAGGAAGATATGATAATAAAATTAAAAAATAATATAATTGTGACGATAATAAAAATTTAAAAAAAATCTTGTCTTTTCTTTCGACAGTCTCAGTAGAAATTGTGCCTCTAAATTTGCAATTTTTAACAAAACACATTTAGGCGATTTCAGTCTTCTAAATCTAGAACTCGCAGGTATAAAGGTGCCGTTAAACCCCGGAAATCCGAGTTTCTCAGGTAACTCATGACCTCGAAGAAGAAATCCGCGCTTCCTCCGCGCGCGTGTTTCTTTCACCCCGGTAGGTGCATTAATCTTCGTAACAGTGCATCAACCTGCCTACCGAGCGCGCCTAAGCGCATTCCTCATTGTTAGCGCGCGACTTTGCCACGACGTGCAACTCGTGGGTGCCGGGTCGCGAGGAGAGGCCATGGGGACGCGGATGAAGAGGGGAGGATGAACCTTTGGCCTCGGTACAGGCCACGACGTGGCTCTCCTTCCCTCTGGCAATCTCCAATAGAGCGCTATTATGCTCGGTGACCTCGAACTCTATGAGTCTACGTGCCTAGTCTTCTAGTATGATAATATCTAGTATCCTTGTTATCGTAATGTGCCGATTGGCCGATCGAACGTGCACGAGAGGGCGAGGTAAGTTGGTCAACAAAGCCACCAACTCGTGAAATCCAGTGATGGCCGATTGCGCGTGGATTTACATAAGAACATAACAATGGCTTGGATTTTGGTATCCGAAAACTAAATGCGCTTCTAAAAAAGCAATCTATAATGAATTATAAAAAGATTTCCTAACATCTCTCTTACAAATCTATCTTTTTCGTTATGAAATAACAGATTTTAATAATAATTACTAAATAAGTTCTGTTTATTAACCATCTTAACATTTTTTTTTAATTTAGAAGATTTGTAATTAATGAACATTATTGTTGTTTATATTAATTTTGATGGATTATTCGAATCTTTGTGATGAATATATAATTTATATCACATTTACTTGCAGCGACATAGACGAAATAGAGTACAATAATTTTAATCATTATGATCCTAGCATTATGGATATTTTTTCGCATATAGAGAAATTAAGGATAATGAAAACAATTTCAGTAATTACCGATTCAGTAATTAGCGCGAACGTTATTATTTGCACGTGCAAGAAGAAGATCAATTGCAAAATAACGGGAAGATGCGCGATCTATTTTCGTGGCTCACGTTCTCGACGTTTGAATTAATTCTTACGCGACACCGCTGTTATTACCGCGAAAGATGATAGATAAACATATTAAGAGAGAAATATATACGAAGCGAGAAATAATCTTGCGGAACTCTCGTCCTGCTTCGGTGAGATCGAGATGCGCGAGGGACGAGGTAGAACGGGAGTCTCCGACATACCAGGTGCGGCAGAAGAAACGGGACAAAAATGACGACAGGAGGAAACTAGGAAGCGGCTTCGCGAAACACGAGCAAAACACGTGCGGGAAATTGACATCTCGCGTGTTCCCGGCCAACGCGAGCGAATCGCTGCCGGTGCTATTTCCACCGATCGAACCTGGCAAGATCGCCTTCTCGAACCCTAATAAATGTTAAATTCGTTCGGAACCTCAATTTCCCGCTCCTTCGATTATCGAGATATCGAGATTTGATCGAGAATCATGCCGGATTAACGCGTGTCGAATCGCTCGAAAGTGGAACTTCCGCGTTCAACCATATGCATATTACTCGAGTACTGACTTGCATATTGCATGTCTTCGTGGAATGATGTTTCTCTCCGAGGAACATGCTTCATTTCCCTCGCGTATGTTCAGTACTATTTAAAGTAAGTTATTTAGCGCATTTAACACGCGGAAATTATTCTCTCCCGTCACACGCGCGCGTGGGAATTGAGCTCGAGGAACAATCCTCGGTTCATTCAGCTCAGCTGATTCTAATTACGACTGTGTAACTGAGATTCCTCATTCTCATTGTAGATGGGCTCGTTCGGGATCGGAACGATAGCAGCTACAACCGCGAGCCTGATATTCACGGTACTATTGGCAACCGGCGACGCTGCGTTGGGTAAGTTTCTCTTAAGATTCATGGGAGTCCGCGACACGGGGCTCGGAAGAAGTCTCGGTGAACCTGGGGCTTGCGTCCAACGAAATCCTAGAGAATCTCTCCCGCATAAACGCAAACGTTGCTTTCACATTTCCAGCCAGGACGGCGTTCGAGAAGCTCACCGATTACGATTATCGCGGCACCACCTATTACAGCGTGAGGAATCTGTCGTTGTACGAGTGCCAGGGATGGTGCAGAGAGGAGACGGAATGTCAGGCCGCCGCGTTCTCGTTTGTCGTGAATCCGTTGGCGCCGATGCAGGATACTCTCTGCCAACTGCAGAACGAAACGGCCGCCTCGAATCCGGCCGCCCAGCCCCAAAGAGCCGTCAATATGTACTACATGACGAAACTGCAAATAAGATCCGGTGAGTTAAGACACCGGTGCTTGTTTCTACTCGCATTGTTTTTTTCTATTCTGTTCTCCTTAAATTAAAGTGCACATCAATCTTGTTAATCGCCCTGAAAGGCGTGGGAAAAAGTAGCGCATAAAAAAATGACTTGCGACGAGGAAAATCACACGGTTTTGCCACATGTACGTAAAATAATACGGAAAAGGGATCGTGAAATGCGATAACCTGAATTCTAAACTTGAAGAAGGTTTGTCGGTAAAACTTCAAGAGAAACGCTAACTCTTCAAGAGGAATGCTAACTGGCGGGATTTCATTGAACGAGGCAAAGGTGTTCGGCAAACAATACTAACTTATGCGCGGACAATGCAAGGGCTTAATAATGCGATTCGATTTGCTTAGAATACAGTAGGGTGTTTCCATTTGTACGGTTGAAGAACATATTTAGCATGCTGCAATTTTTATGAAGAATCTAAAATCGCGTTAAATAATAGCGTAATATTCTCTAAAACGTAAAAGTTACGTTACTAATAATATAAATGACTAATAATTTTGCTCTAAAAGATAGTCGTTGTAGTAATAATTATAAAATCAGGGTAAGATTATATGTTGATTTAGGTGATTTTCCTTCGTAAGAAAATATAAAGCACTTCTTGCACATGGTCAGGTAAAGATCCCCTTTGCCCGTTTCTCATTCTTTGTACGCGCAAAATAGCTTTCACTTTTCACCGGGGAAAATCTAGTGAGAACGGAACTGGACAAACACATCTGCTGATACCTGCAAGATTATACGGAATGCCTTTAAAGAGAACGACCGTCATAAACAGCTACCTGCAGGAGAGATGAGCCCGAGTGTTAAAAAGGGCTTCTGGGAATTCTAAGGATTCTTTAATATTAGTTTAACGAATCCACCAATGTTTTAGATGCTTTTAAATATCTGCAAAATTATTGCTAATCTCCTGTGCAAAACTTTATCAAATTGGAACATGAATGAAAGGAAGGCTCTTAAGAGTTCTTAAAGAAGAATGACTGTTTTCGTGAAAGGATAAACTTTATCCGGATTTTTTCGATGTTTTGTGATTTCAAGAGAGAAGAGCGAAAAGCGGAAGTGGTTTCCGTTATTTCTATTCAGTTTTTCAAAAAAAAAAATTTGTACCATAAATAGTAGCAGTAATAGTAGTAGTAGTAGTGACAGAAGTGAGTAAGGCCAGGCCAGCCTCCCCCTATTGTCACCTAGATCTAAAACTTCTTTTAAAAACCCCTGTTGTATCGTAAATATTATATATGCAAGGAAAAAATGTTAATTCTTTTGCGATAAAAGAGGGTATTTTAATATTGACAGAAAAAATTTTATATTCTGTATTTTATACCTATATTTTATACTTTATTATATTACATTTATTTTATATTTTATTATTATATTCTATATTTTATATTTTATATCCTTTTATATGTTTCTATATATTTTGCATATTGTCATTATAATTAAATGATCAAATATAAATTATATAAATCTCCGTAAAATTTTCGATATTTCAAAAATTGACAATGTCAGATTTAATATCTTTGCACATCTTTATAAATCTTTTATAGAATAGAAATTTCCGGGACTTTCATGTGTTAGGAGAAGTCACATGTTGCCTATTTAACTAGTAAGGCGATTTTCTTGTCGAGTTGTTTTGAATCGTAAAGCGCTTAACTCTCCGTCATAAATCCATTCATCTCGATAAGATATATATTCATAGAAATATTTGTTTTTATGCATTTCCAGTTAAGTATACTAATGAAAAGAAGAATTGAAATTTAAAAGGACGGACTTCCTAACATGATCGTTATGGTCCAGCTCGTTACAAAATGCGCAGAACCTCACTTTAATGGTAGCTGTAAGATTAACCAATCATGCATTTCATAAATTCATCTTAAACCTGACACACCAAAAAACTAAGCATTGCTTTAAACGCAAGATAAATCGAAATTTATATAAAAAAATTATATGATCTTATTAAAAAAATATAATGAATGATCTCTCGATATTACGCGTCTCCACAAAAATTATTTCGATTAAATCACTTGCTTCTCGAAAATAAAATACTATGAAAAGAAAATAATGTAATACTACGAAAAGATAATATAATAGTATGAAAAAATAATACTACGAAAAGAAAAAAATCAAATTATATAATAAAAAAGATCAAATTATATAATCAGACACCTTATATATTTCCATTATTCATCGTCCGTTGTGAATCGCACTGAAATACTTAATTGCGGATATGTGGTGCCAGAAAATTATATATAAAAGATCTGCTGAATTTTACATTGCTGATCGAAAAATAATTATCATTTTATTAGCGATTCTTCGTTCAGGATGAGCGAACGCCAGTAATTCGCGGTTGGCGGTGATTCATGCGTGAAGGAGTCACGCAGCGGTTCGTTGGCACCGACTTTCGTCGTCGGCTGCGACTTTAGCGCCGGTTTCGAGGGCGGAACAAAAGAAATTGGAACGCTCAACAGGCTCGGCCGAAATATATTCCGGACTCGAGTGCCAAAAAGTGCGGCTACGTGCGTCACCGTCGACATCAACGTCGATGCCAAGTCACATGCCAGCGTCTTATGATGTTTCAGCACAAAAGATCTTTCGTATGACTCGATAATTTCGTTGCGGCATAATCCGGAAGTATCGATAAGCTTGTCGAAACATCTTATTAAATTCAAAGGGAAAGATAAAAACCGGAGTTTTAAAAACTGTTTAACGACTTTACTTTCGGTTTACTTAATGGTTTAATATTTTATCCGACCTGATGCCTTCTTCAATTTCGAAAACTAACTATAAATTGATTTAAATCTTGTCACGATTTTTGTGCAGAAGTGTAAAAACTAGTTTTTCTAGCGTCGTAAGAGAAAGATTAAAGAAAAAAATTTGAAAACTAAATGTCATTAATCAGCGAGTTATGAAAATGTCAAAAATCACAGAAAATTACCTAGCGCACATTTTTAAGATCTGCAATTTCATTATCATATCATAGATATTACGAGAATGTATAATACTGGAAAATAGAGAAATTAAATCATCTAATTTTATTATATTATTTTAGAGAACGTTTGTTTGCGACCGTGGTCCTTCGAACGCATTCCAAATAAAATGATACGAGGATTGGACAACGCATTAATTTACACGTCCACGAAAGAAGCCTGTCTCGCTGCTTGCTTAAACGAGCATCGTTTTACCTGTCGTTCCACAGAATATAATTACGTGACACTTCAGTGTCATTTAAGCGACTCGGATCGTCGAACGACAGGTCAATACGTTCAATTCGTGGACGCGCAAGGAGTGGATTACTTTGAGAATTTATGTTTGAAAGGTAAATGCTGCATTATTGAGAAAAATGAAAATTAAAATATAATTTCTAGAAGAATAAATGTATCTAAAAAATAATTATGGACACTCACAGGAAAAGAGGCCTGCAAGTATCAAAGGATTTTCCAAATGCCCAGAATCGGCGTAGCGGACGATAAAGTTGCACAATACGCAGGCCTACACTATTACACCGACAAGGAGCTGCAGGTTCAGAGCGAGTCTGCTTGCAGATTAGCCTGCGAAATCGAAAACGAGTTCCTTTGTAGATCTTTTCTCTATCGTGGCGCTCCTCAAGGATCGGCTTATAATTGTCACCTCTTCCATCTGGATCATTGGACTCTTCCGGATGGACCTTCGACGTATCTTAATGCAGAGAGGCCGTTGATCGATAATGGAGAACGAGTGGGCACCTACTTTGAAAATTTCTGCGAAAGTAAGCGAACTGAAAAATCATCGATTAAAATAATTTAAATTTGTGTGTGCATATATTAATCATAAATATGTTATTGTACAAATTTTAGAGGGTACTGGACCATTAGCGGATCCACTTCCGGTAGTTTTTGAAACCACAGAAGATCCTACGATAAATAATCTCACTAGAAACGATATTAATTGTGATAAGACTGGCACTTGTTACGATGGTATAGATTTTTTTTAATATTTCAATAATACATGTGTGGTATTGTAACATTTTCTTAATGATCGATTTGTTACAGTATCGGTTGATTGTAAAGACACTCGTATCGCTGTCCAAGTTCGTACGAATAAACCCTTCAATGGACGAATTTACGCTCTTGGACGATCCGAAACTTGCAATATTGATGTTATCAATAGCGATCTCTTCAGGTTGGACCTCACAATGAGTGGACAAGATTGTAACACACAGAGCGTGGTAAGTAATATATGATAAGATGGTGATAGTGATATTGAACTTAATCATTTTCAGAGATAATTTAAAGTATGAAAAATATGGTAATTGTATTTATATGTATTTTTTAATTATAATTATAATTATAGTTTTTCAATGCTATTTATCCTTTTCGAATACTTATTATAGTACATCATATATGTCATAGTGTGTCATGTAATTTATAATATACAAAATTTTCAAAGTTTATATCCATGATTTTGCAACTCAAAGATCATCACAGATATACATTTTTCCTTTTTCTTTTCTAAAAGAATTATAATTTTGCAGTTACAATGCTTTTCATTATTCATGTTATTGAAATACGCATGCTGTTAAAAATAAATTAAGTAAATAGCACTTGTTATTAAGTTACACAAACACTTTATCGATATTGTATCGATATTATATGTGTCTAATATTATTATATTTTCATACTAATGTATCACATTTATTTGATGAGCACTGCACTTTTGTAATGTATATATATCTTTATATGTGTATAATGCATAATTTAAAAAAAAAAACAATTTTTACACATCTATCTTACACATTCTTTTATAAAAAGTCGATAAAGAGTTTATGATAAATAATGCACAACCCTCTCTCTTTGAGTACTTAATCTCTGTTCAAACTTTCTTTTCACCATGGCAGCGTGACGGTTTTCAGACTGGAATTTATTCAAACACGGTTGTACTACAACACCATTCCGTGGTAATGACAAAGGCTGACAAGATTTACAAAGTTAAGTGTACATACGATATGTCCTCGAAGAATATAACATTCGGCATGATGCCGATCAGAGATCCGGAAATGATCAGTATCACCAGCGCACCGGAAGCGCCTCCACCCAGAATTCGCATCCTCGATAGTCGATCGCGAGAGGTTGAAACTGTACGCATTGGCGACAAGTTGACGTTCAGAATCGAAATCCCGGAAGACAGTAAGTTTATGTTCTCTTTTGGAAATTTATTTTTTTTAAGAGAAGCATACTAATTATACTTGAACAATAATATAATCAATTTTTGACAATTTGATAACAATTAATATTAATATTCTATATAGCTCCTTACGGCATTTTCGCTCGCAGTTGCGTAGCTATGGCAAAGGATTCGAAAAGCACGTTCCAAATTATCGACGACGAAGGGTGAGTTGATTTTATATAATACATTCAACTGAAACAGACTAAAATTTTTATATAAAACAATCTTGATCCACGTTTCAGTTGAATATATTAATATTTTGTTTAATATTTTCCGATTATATTGAGCGTGAATGAAACATACAGAACGAATGTTTAAATTTTCAGATGCCCCGTCGATCCTTCCATTTTCCCCAGTTTCACTCCCGACGGTAATGCTCTGCAATCTATATACGAAGCTTTTAGATTCACCGAATCTTACGGTGTAATTTTCCAATGTAACGTAAAGTACTGTCTGGGACCCTGCGAACCGGTAATTGATTAATTTTATTATACCTCTTGTTAATTACAATAACGATACTACCAAAAATTTTTTTCACTTTCAGGCTGTTTGCGAGTGGGGACGCGAATCCGTAGAATCGTGGGGTAAGAGACGTAGAAGAAGTCTTGCGAACTCGACAGAGGAAAAAGGCGAAGATATGACTCTGTCCCAAGAGATTTTAGTGCTCGATTTTGGCGATGACAAAGAATCCGGTTTCTTAAAGAGCGATGCCAGCATAGACTTCAATGAAGCAGGTAAGATAAGACAGACAAAGACGCATTGAAGTGATAGCAAAAATTTGCATGATACTGATTATACGGAATATTTATTTCCAGACAAAACAGTGACCATCGTAGAGCCGTGTCCAACAAAAACTTCGGTGTTGGCGCTCGGGGTGACGTGTGCTCTTTTGGTGCTCATCTACATCTCCACGATCTTCTGTTACTACATGAAGAAGTGGCTAACACCTCGCAAAATGATGCCTTAAGAAAAAAGGTTTATTCGAGCATTCGTAAACATGTACGAAGAAAACAGAGTGCGAGAGTTCACACATACATTTCACACATAGGCATATTCATATCGTAAGTTATCAAAAAATCCATACTTAGCAATTGTCATTCGCCCTCTCATTTCTATTATATGTTCATTTTCATTATATTCACGACGGGTAAATAATGTGTAATAAAAAGTTAAAAGATTTTTATATTATTATTCACACACACACACAAAGGGGGCACAATTGTATTATTATCATGTGCATCTGAATTACGTATAATCCATTTAATATTATGTGCAACATTAACGATAATTGCAAAAAATAATTATATAAGAAATATCCAATATACTACATATATCGGATATTATATAATTAATTCCGTAATCGCATTATTAATGTTGCACATTCAATATTGATACTTATTGTATTGATGCACATAACATTTAAAAGAACAGTTACGTTCGTTAAAATAGATCGGCATTTTCGAGACAGTTACTCGACAGACATTAATACTACACGTATATCGTTTCACGCGCGAAAATAAGTTTACACACACATTGAAACTACTATGACTGACGAGTGCGACGAAGATTACGGATCTCTTGTACCATATGTTGAAAGCAAACACCTACACATATTCGAGGTCTATAACGAGGAGGATGACTCGACATCTCTTAACCGAGGTAATATTTAGCAAGGAACAGCTCATGAATATCGTAATTTTCATGAAGATTGCGTCTTTTTTTTATGATGATCGCAGATTATATAACCAATGCGTCAATTATAACAAAGCAACATTTACATTTTCATTGAATGCTAAACATATTAGGTGTCTGCAAGACTTTAATATATACAACCACTTTGTGGCTGCGTGTATTTAACAACTTCATACTCTGGCTTGTCAGATTGTACTGGGATGTCATTGAGATAGCAATCGATAGGGATCGAATTTTAGTGATACGATTTATCTCGAACGTATGAGAAAAGTGTTGCTACGTTAGCGACTGTGATTGAAATTTGAATGATAGTTTGCGCATGTTGGAGATGTTTATGCAAAGTTGGCGACCGACTCTTTTGCATACATAGATACATACACATACATACGTACGTACACATATACGAGCATTTCGCGGAGCTCACTCGCGACTAAGACCATCATGAAAATGCAATGAGTAAATCTTATTTAAGAATATTCTTAGAATCAAGCTAACTGTCTTCTAGTAGCTACTTCTGATCGGGTTGCAAGGAGAACAAGAACGAGCGAACGAATTTATTTTTCGCGTTGCTCGAAGCGAAATTCCTCTGATGCTTTTTAAATGGTTGAGAGATACGGCTCTGATTACTGTTTTCAGTCAATGGAGATCGATTTGTAACCCGTATCAAGACTAGCGATATTTAAAGGTTCACGCTTCACTAACGTCTTTAACGATACAAGTAGTATTAAGATAGTAATTAAGCATGTAAGCATAGACGAAAGGAGGGAAAAAGAGTGGACGAGGAGATACTTTTACAGATTTAGCGGGTTCTCGAAGCGATTCGTACTTTGTTCGTTACCTATTACGAATAAATTTTTCAAAAAGAAAAGAATAAACAACGCTCTTTATTTACAATACAATTTCCATTCCCAATAATCGTATTAATCTTATATGCGTAATGATTAATTAAATATAATGATTAATAATTTTCGAAATGAACTTGAGATATAATAGTAGTTTAATAAAAACATATTTTAATATTTCAAAGTATCAACCTCTTGCGAGAAACCGCTCAAGAAACTGCTTTTTTAAGACTTAGAAGCAAGAGTACCTCTATTCGTAAAACTCGTACTGGTATTGGACCTGATGAGAGAAACCCTTGAACATTCGGTCACTTAAGTGTAGATAGTCTTCTGCGCGTTTATAGCTGAAGTGTCTTCTAGGACTCTTAAAATTTTAGTTGTACGCGTTCAGAATATTAAACAAGAAATAATCAACGAGGTACAACGTGCTGTCAGCGACCTAAGTAGCCGAATATAATTTTATAAGGACAATTATATATATTTTCTCAGTTTATCAGCTCCATTCAATTAATAAACTTGCGCTACAAATATTTCCTGAATATTTTTTCTCGCTTCGAATATTAATGAAGAATTAAATTATGCAAGTATGTTTTGAAAATAAAACTTTTATGCACATTATGTAAATAAATATAGACTTCAAAAAATTTTATTAGCATTTTATTAATTTATGATTGTGAGAACTAACATTCGTGAGAACAGATGTAAAAGTATTCGGTTCGAGAAAATTTATTCTACAAGAGTAAACTTTATATAATTGCTTTGTTTTCTTCATAATTAATCAAGTAATTTATAAAATAAATATGTTGTATCTATTCGATCGGAATATTATTACAACATATTAATTTTGATATTTACTGAGACGCGCAGATATTTACTGAGACAGTGTATAATGATTCATGAACAAGAGGAATTGGGTGGAGTAAATTAAAAACTTCCGGTTAAGGTGCTTGCTAAAGAGGTCACATTCTCAATATTATTGAATATTATTTAAATCAAAATAATAATAAAGGATTAAAACTCGAACGAATATCACTAGCTTCATTAAAAAATCTGTTTTCATAAAAATTTATCTCCCTAAATTTATAATACTTTTAATGAAGCTATCAACTGATACAATACGATATTTTTGCTGCATTAAACCATTGCTAATCTATTCGAAAAATGCTTGCTGAATGTATACGATCTCTTATGAAACAATTTACAAAATGTATATATTATTAAGACAAGTTATACAATAGATATTCAGAAATGTGAACACACATACGCATTAATATGCATCAATCACGTATATTTGTACTCTATTTATATACACGAATGTTTTAGTAAACTCAGATCAGTTTTGACAGAATCTTTCTTTTTTCTTTGGAATCATTTATTGCATATAAAAGTGGTACAATGTGTACAATTAATTTACACATTATATAATGAATAAAAAAATATAATATCAAAATTGTTCTATCCATATAGAAGAATTGATACATACGTCAGTTATTTATGTAAAAATTTTAAAGCTGTGAAAAAAAAGATATCAAGCATTTCCTCTCTGTTCAATGGAAATTTTAAAGAATCGGATTGTCCATCAAATAATCATGGTATATCAATATTTACAATTCCCCTCATGCAAATAAATCGTTGGCCTGGTCAAACGCCAACCAATCATCGTCGAACTTGTGACTAATTGACTCGAAAATATCGGCACGTGTAAAAGTTTATTATGACAAGTAATTATAGATACGCTTGATACGTAAGGCGACTTCAATTTTATCATTAAAACTTAATCATTGATTATCATTCATGATTAAATCATGATTAATGATATATATCTAATGATTTAATAAAATTTTAAACCATGTGATTCTTTCTTGTTAATATATCAATAAAAAATGAATAACTCGATGTTAACGAAATATTACACGTAAAGACAATAGAAGCGCGTGAATATACATTTCAAAAGATATCAAAAATATTGGCAATAGAAGCGCGTGAATATACATTTCAAAAGATATAAAAAAATTGCTTTGCATTCTTTCCGTTCATATTGTTCGAGCAACAAGCTAATCTGCATACAAAAGTATCGATCGACCAATCCGCTTTGAAGATAACGCGTTCCACGGATAAAACAGCGCCTTTTATTGCGCGTATTGTTCTATTATAATTGCTCGGCCGATAAAGCGAATTCCAGAGGAATCTACGTCGCGGTCGAAAACGCGGGGTGCAACGTTGTGCTTCGTCCTCGTGATCCTGGTAGTATTCCCGGTAAAGAATGGCAGAGGATGAACGAGATACGGAGCGAGATACAGAGTCAGCTGACCAACACATGCATACGCCGTATTGAGCCGTCGTCGAGTCTCTCGGTGCCAAAGGCAAATGTTGCAGCAGTCAACCTCGATACGTCTTCGCCAATGATAAGATAAAGGTTAGCGCGTGTGGGTGCGTGCGTGAGACTTGCCGTAGAAACCGATCTCGTGGGCGTTGCATCGTGTCACGCTTCTCTCTTTCTTTCTCTCTTTATGCCTACGTGTTTTTTTCCGTATCCATTGATCATCCGTCTGTCCGTCCGTCCGTCCGTCCATGTCGTTCGTTCATTTGTTCCTTTCTCTCCAAGACTAATATTACATTCGTCAAACTCATACGACAAACTTTTTAAGCACATTGATTGGCTGCGTTTTTAAAGATTCAACAAATTATTGTCCCGCAGCCAATCAATGTGCTTAAAAAATTTATCGTACGACAAGTGTAATATGAGCCTAATATTCATTTCGCGCGTCTGCGATAAGCAGGGACGTAGCGAGCGTGATATTAGTATATCTCTCGTGACGCACGATCGGAGGAATCTCGCTGAAACGAAAGTTTCGAAAAGCCGCTGCAGCGGCTCCGCCTGCGAGATTAAGCCTCTTGGGGACCGCAGGTAGATAGGTAGGTATGCGCGCGAGTAGGCGCCATCGTGCGCGACCGCCTACGGAGAAGTTTTTTTTTGTTTGCATGGCCAGCAAACGCGCGAATCTGTCATACGTTTTTAGCCCACGTGCACGTGTATGTATGCGTGCACATATCGGGTGATTGAGAATTCGTGTTTCGATCTGATAACGCGCGATGAAATGACGATTATGATAACAGAATCGATCATTTCTCTCCTCCCAGCGACGAGCCAGGGAGCCCAGGGATGAGCGAGAATCAATTTCAATTATATGCTGGAACTAATAAGCCCACATTGTACATTATCCTTATCGCAGTGTAAAACAGGCTATAAAAAGTTCTGCGAGCTGTCAATCTTTTGAGTCGTTACAAATATAGCGCACAAAAGCTGATTAAGTTATCAAATAATCGACCAGCATACTCTGTTAATTTCTTTAAACACTTACTGCAAATTATAGTGAACAATGAACTCGGGGTATTTTCACCTCGAGATAACATTTGTTGAATTTAAATCTTACAGTCAGTTCATTAAATAAGCTTTCATCAAGCGACTTTTTATAAGGATTCCATAAAGAGAGAGCTACACTTTTATTACATTTAGATTATCGAAAATAGAAATTATTCAATTGATAATATTTAAAAATATATAAGCATACACTTCCAACGCACATAATCGATCCGTCCCTGTTTATATGTATGATTAGATTCGATGCTATGCACGCATACATGACACGTAAATATATGCTGTATGTATGTATGCTTACTAATGTAAATGTATTTGTATTGTGCACGTGTAGCGTTCTCCCAGTTAAAGCATGCGCATAAATAAGTTTAGATTATAAGCTGTAGACTGCGATTTCAACGAGTGGCGCTCTTTATTCCGGATAGAAGATGAATGTTCACGCATATATATATATATATATATATATATATATATATATATATATAAGGCGACTTCAATTTTATCATTAAAACTTAATCATTGATTATCATTCATGATTAAATCATGATTAATGATATATATCTAATGATTTAATAAAATTTTAAACCATGTGATTCTTTCTTGTTAATATATCAATAAAAAATGAATAACTCGATGTTAACGAAATATTACACGTAAAGACAATAGAAGCGCGTGAATATACATTTCAAAAGATATCAAAAATATTGGCAATAGAAGCGCGTGAATATACATTTCAAAAGATATAAAAAAATTGCTTTGCATTCTTTCCGTTCATATTGTTCGAGCAACAAGCTAATCTGCATACAAAAGTATCGATCGACCAATCCGTATACATATATATATATATATATGTGTGTGTGTGTAGTTATTCCCCAAGTATTATGGTTGTTTATCACGTTTCTACTCGTAACGTGTCATAGTTCACAAAATTTTTCTTCAGTCGCTATTATCGAGCGACGATACTCTTCTACGCCGAATACGTTGCAATGCTTCAATTCAAAATGCAAATATTTCAACAATAATATAAAAATACAACGCATAATATACCTGGAAAATCATATCTGACTAAAATATGATATAGTGTGCCAAAAACGCAGCTTGTCTATTTTACGACCTGTGTATATAGCTTGAACAAGTAATACAAACAGCCGAGGAAGTGAGAAATTAATAACGCAATTATAATAAGAAAATAAAATACGACTAGGAGAGCAGTAAAAACTAGACGCATGAAACAAGTTTTGGCAACAGACGTCGAAATACGAAACATGCATTGCAAAATAATGCGAATTTTTGAACGACAGCCAACTTGACCAAAACTTAACAGGATTCTAAGATCAGATTCAATCGTCACAAAGTGAACGTTTGTAGGTGACCGTTGGTCTCGCCTTTGCCAAGATATTTGAGCCTTTCTTTCACGCATCAAAAGGAGAAGATTATCTGATGAAAAGGAAAAATTATCTGATGTAATTTTTTGCGTCACGTACTGACCCTCGTGTATTTCTTTTTCTTTAACGCTGGCGATTATATTTAATAGTAGTAGAATTTCCGTATTGTGAATAAGATAGGTAAAGGTCATGAATATTGAGTTGAAAACGAGATGTCGTACGTCGAGGCATCGGTAAATAGACTCGACGTTTTCCTTTTTCTTGTCGTTGTTCTTTATCATTCCTATAGAATCTCTTTTCCGCCAGTCATGCCTGTGCATAAGTATGTACGTGGAAGAAAGCGAAGGCTACAACAGCCATGTGAGCGAACGCAAAGGACGAAGAGAGACGGAGGACGGTCGACGTACATCATTTGGGCGCCGAGAAGTCTGGCGCGACCAAAGCCAGGCCAGAGGCGCGTCTCTGGTTACGCGACTATTTGGGGCGCCAAGCTGGTGGCTTCGGCGGTGCGGCGGGTGAACGGGGGATCATGAAAGAACGGCGGGGAGGGGAGGGTGGTAGGTAGGCGTCCGAGTAACGTCCACTGCGCTCAAGAGAGGCTCGCAGGGCCGGAGAACGAGGAGAAAAGAGGGAGATGCGACCGCCGAAGGGGCCTCCGCAGGCCACATTCCAGGAGAACGCGAGTTTTCAAACATGCCTGGCCTGCGTGAATATAGGTCCATGACCGATCCTTTAATACGCACACTACGATCTCTCGGCGAGCTACGAGCTGCATTCGTCCCTCGTCACGTCTCTTCTATGCCCACCGCTCCAACGATTCCCCCTATGGCGCGTCCCTTCCCCCCTGGTGCTGTTGTATCGCACACAGACGTGCATACATATATATCAACCTTCCCTTCCCTCCTCTCCGTCGTACTCTCCCTTTCCTCGTCCCTCGTGCTAACCCGGACGACCAGGCCGACCGAGCTGGCGACACCCTGTCTGGCAAGACCGGCCGGCGGACAAAAGAGGGGGCGCCCGGGTGCTGCGTTGCCACTTACTCGGTCTTCGTGCTGCGCCTACCTTCGGCCCCAAGGACAAATCCGACGAGCCGTGCCAGCCGTGCCGCACTAGGCGACTGCCGGTCTGCTGCTGCCTCGATGTTTTCCTTACGATGCTCGCTGCCGATATTATTTTCAGCGAACACTCTCGTTTACTCTCGAGAGAACGCGCGAGATAAGAGATGGAGAGTAAATAGATGAGAAAAGGTAAAAAGAAAAATGCAAGGAGATAAAAGTCACGTAATTACTAATGACTAAACATAATCTCAAATCTGAGCCAATAAACGAATTTATAAATCGTTTAATAAAATGTTAACATTATTACGTAATGGCAATTGTCAATTGTTCACGCGGGAAATTAACAGGAAGACATTCCGTTTCAAGGACACATAGGTGGAATACCTGAACGATGAATCGCGCCTATATAACTACGCGAAGGCCGATCCTCGCAGGTGCCTTCTTGCTGCACGATGTTCAAAAGAGAGCCTCATCGTGATCAGCAAGCGCAAGAATAGCCGCCGTGATTCTTGGAAATAGAATAGGGTGCCTCTTCAGAGAACTGCGAGAGGATTCGTCGGCATCCTTGGTTTCTGCCGGTGGCGCGAATCGTGGAAATTTACGAGGCCTCGTCCGTTTCTTTTTATCAGTCTATCTTGCTCGCGCGTTCGTTCATCGAAGTATATGCGAGCGTGCGGCTTGCGTCATTGCCTCGCGGGTCTCTCCGCGCGTTCGTATGCGTTGCAGCCTACGTGTAGCTAAGAAGAGACATGGCAACGGCGCGTGAAGCTAAACATATTAACTGTCGGCTCACGCCACAAAAACAACATGATCTCATTCCATGGCGCATATGCAAGAGGTTATCGTATACCTCAAAATCTCATTCAAAACTTTAACGACATCGAACAAGAAAAAAAGGAAGCGTAGAATAATATAAGTGCGAAAGCATTGAATGTACGGCAACGGTAAATTTGTATGGATTACTAATGGATTACTAATTTCAACTAACGAAATATGATGTATAAGTCACTTTAATTATAATACAGATAATTTTAAGTTCAATAAGCCTAGCATTAGCTATAAGCTAGCATGACCATAAGCACTTTTCTTAGAAGATAAAATTGCCTCATCTACTAACCGTCTTTGCCGACTATGAAATTTTCTATACTACCGTTCAAATGAAATTATTGTATTTAATGCTCGTGCTCGTAGAGACATACATCTACGACCTAATCTAAATTATACGTCTACTTTTTCGTAGAATAAACTCTTCATGACTGATTACGATCCATTTCTCAATTCCTCGTTATTATGTTTGCTCTTTAATTTTATATAAATTTTATGTATCGTATATATGTAACATGTAACGAATTATAGAAAAACCCGGAATGCTACACATTCTACGCGTATTCGACCTCGTGTATAGAGAAGTCGAACGGAGAGGCGCGATCGGCTGGAGGAGAAAGGCGAGCAAAAATCGAGGCTCCATGCTGGCTGCTACGGCAAGCTGCTAAGCGGCGCGGCAGGCAGGCACGCAGTCAGACATTCACAGCAGACAACATGGCGCCGAGAGCGTCGTCGTCACGCCGGCGTGACGTTTCCCGCGCGCGTCATTAACGGAAGTGAGCCCACAAAATGGCGGAGTTTTACAGAGCCGAGGTGTGAAAGGGAAGAGAGAAAGGAGAGGACAGAGGAGGGTGTCTACGCCTGCGGGCAGTTAGACAGGCGAGCGAGGTAGGATGACGAGATCCGTAGAAAGAGAGGAGGTTAGGTCGGTGGCACAGAGAAAGAAGAATGACTAGTAGCCGCCTTCGGCGGTAAACTAGCGCCCGTACCGCACGAATGGGGGCAACGGGGTGTCGAGGGGACGACCATTAGATAGAAAGAGGAAAAACGGCAAAGGCGATAAGTTGAACGCAGATAGCGATAAACGCCGACCGAGTGGGGATACATGGAAGGAGAGGCCGAGAGTGCGAGAAGAGAGGCTCGAGGGAACGAGAGAGCGAGAGACGGCGTTAGAGCGGAGGGGAAAGACCAGTGGGAAGCAGCGGCAGTTCTCGCTGGTGGTGGGGATGAAAATTAGTTACGGCATCCAAGACCTAAAAGGAACTCCGGCGCCGCCAGATCGCATCGTGCAATGTTAAGCGTTAAGGTATCCTCGTGTATCGTTGACAGTGCCGGTCTTAAACTTTGTGGTAGTTGTTATCCGCATCGTCATTATACTGTCGGACTTGTTTTTACGGTCGTAGTGACGACTATTATAGGTGCGAATAAGTTACGTATGTGTGTAATATTTTAAATAAAATCCATGACCTATTTATATATATGACGTGAGTGAGGTGCTCAGTGAGAATAGCTCACAATCAGTGAAAATGATTCATTCGAAGCATCAACAATCGACGCATCAACAGCATCAGCAGCAGAACATGCGAAAATCTGTGGGCGTTATGGGTACTAGACGCATTTTCACAACAGCTTTTAAAATCAAGGTCCTGGATTCTTATAGACACGACAAGGATTGCCGTCAGAATCAACGTGCCACTGCGAGGAAATATGGTATTCATCGTCGTCAAATACAAAAATGGCTACAGTGTGAGGAACAGCTCAGGAGTAGCGTTGAAAATGGAAATGCTGGAACTGCCTCGACCATTTCTCCTGCGGGTCCTCAATCGGATGGTACTATGACGGAAGTTACAGGGAATACCGTGACTCCAGCAACGCCGGCCTTGAACCTCAACCTCGCCAGACAGCACGGCGACGAGCTGACTACACAGCAAGGGCCCCCACCTCCTCATCCTCCGCATGGCAGTGCACCCTCCTCGCCCCAATATAGTCGTCAGACTACTACCATCGGCACGACTTTGCCCCTATGCGTCGCATCCGTAGGTTATCAAGAATATTCATCGGAACAACGTCTTCATTTAGAGCTCGAGGACAAAGTTCATATGCCAGAGATTCACGGATATCCAGGCACGCAAGTAGATCAAGATCGTAATTATTACGTATTAAATGGAGATGGACAGCGAGATGTGGAAGCAGCTTCGGTATTTAGCAGTAGGAATGAGGTGAAGGTATATCAAACTTTGACAAGTTACCATTCGCCATCTCAAGAGCACAGATATGACGTGAACGATATCAACAATAGCATGCATAATCATTCGCCGAATCATCATCCGCAGCAACGGGAACAAAGTTATGGAAATGTCGATTCATTCGACGGGAGATCATACGGCTTGCTACTAGCGCCGTCGATGATAAAGACAGAGCCAGCGAGCCCAGACATAGCGGCGACGTCAGGACCGTACAAATCGACAGATTCCCCCGGTGGTTCACGGGCCCCACTCTCGCCGATATCGCATCGAGCCACCGATAGCAGCGATTCGTCCGTTCACTTTGTTGATTCCTCACGAGCCCCTGCGAGTCCGTACTTGCACGTGCACGTGCATGAACACGCACACCCATGCTCACCGCTCAATTCCGAGAAGTCGATCCCATCGCTTCTACACCAGCGGGAGAGAGAGTCAGACGAGACGCAGCATATCGACGAGAAGAAGGAGGAAGAGACGTTGGAAAAAACAGAATACTGTACGGCGATGGTCAAGGAAGAAGTACACTTGGATGAGGAAGAAATATATGATGAAGGAGAAGAGGCTATCGCATCCTCGTGCATTGATTATCGACGACCACCTACCGGTGAATCATTAGCAGGTAGTTTAGGACCGGTAAGTCCTATGTACGATCGTAACGGTTATTCTTTGCCGTCAAGCCCTCGTGATTCTGTTAGCATCGGAAGATACAGGAGTAGCTGCTCGGACAGCGAAATGGATCCTCTCATTTCGGTTGGCAGCTTGAATTCATCCAGCAATTTCACTCGCAGACGATCTTTCCCATTGCGTTTTAAACTTGACGTTCTCGATGCTTTCCATCGAGATAAGGAAGTAAAGGAGAATCAACGAGCTACTGCTAGAAAATTCGGTATAAATCGTCGGCAAGTACAGAAGTGGTTAGAACAAGAAACGGAACTCAGAGATGAAATCGCTCTTCGAGGAGATTCACGTCAACGACTGGGTCCTGTCCAGGATGTCGCTTCCGGTGATTCACCATTGGATTTGACGACGACAAATTACGTTCCGAACTGCGTTTCGCTACGTGATCGGTTTGAGATAGAACATGAACGATCGTCTTCGCATTTTTATCGCTGCGATGTTAGTTCCGCTTCTCCTCAACATTCTTATCAACACGTTACTAAGGTGGAATCAATCTCCGAAATAGAAGCTGTAGGGCCTTGCAATCTTTCTTGCTCCGTAGATAGCCATACGACGACTTCGACGACATCTTCTTATCAAGAATTGTCTTTTAGAGAATTCTGCTCTATGGAGTCTTCAGTTAAAGCACATTGTTATTCACCCAGAGCAAATTCCGAAGTTTCTAATCTTTCTGAAGGATGCGAACAAAGATTTTCGCCGCTGAAAAGACAGCATTGTCTGCTTCCTTGCTGTTATGATGCAGTGTCATCACCAAAAAGATATTGCGAAAGGTCTTTGGATATAGACGATTGTTACGATGTACCTCCTCAAGATACACCTCTTTGTCTCGTGAAACCGAGGTCGACCCGGGAATCTTCACCCTCCCGAACAGAATTGATTCTGAAATCAAGTACTGTATCAACTTCGAATAATCCGGACGCTATCACTTTCAAGCCTTACTTAGACAATCCCGTGAGCAAGCCTGCGAAAAAATGTGCCGATCAACGCGATCTATCTCCTATCAGCGGCCACAATGTTAATAACAACAACAATAATAATAATAGTTACAACAACAATTGCCAAATAATTTGTAACTTCAACGAGAATCAAAGTCGCAACTATGATTACGAGCTTAATTTGCGAGTACCGGTTTCCTGGAGACCTGATATAGGTTTGTATACAGGGTTTCCGCAAGGGAGTGCGTTTGTCAGCGTATCTTCACTCTATATGTAACTTCCTCTTTCGCACCCTTCCCCATCCTTCTATTCTAATCATACGCAGAGAACGGAAACTAGCAGATTCATATAATGATAAATAATCATGTCTATATTTTTTTTCTTTCATTTAATTTTAAACGCACTTGTTTTAAAGCTTAAAGAAGAGGGGACAACGATTGGATCATGCGTTATATTTAATTAACTTGTGGATATAAAAATCGAGCGCGCAAGTTTCTCGGGTGAAAATTTGTCAGCGAAAGATCGATCGGTACGTGATCTACCACACGTAGCAGCCTACATAAGCATTTATCGTTTTCGCGGATCGTCGGTGCCGCGTTATACATCGCGATAAAGTCTTAATCGGACGAGCCGAGGCGTGGAAGGAGATTATACATGGTCGCGTCCTCGGCTGGTGTCTTCTTCCAACATCATCAGACTTTCTCGACCCTCTCTCCCTCCATCGTCCCACCTCGCTCCACGAAAAAAAGTACATACAGATATCCTGGCGAATCTTTTTCTCACCGCTTTATCATCGAGATTAGAACCTGGTGGTTATCGCACGGCTAGGCCGTTTAGAGGTCGAATGCGTTTGCTATAATTATACAATTATGTCAGCGCAGCCATTGCATCGAAAGTTCGCGGAAAGAAATGCCGAAGCATTCTCGCGTGAAACATGATGGATCATTGTGCAGCATGATATATGTAATAACTAGAAATGAACATTATATATAACGAACTTTTATTAAGGAAATTGAAAAACTTTAATTTACATTTCTCCTTGTAAAGTAGTTTTGATAACGTTTTTTATAGCACATTTAGTTTAGCAAATTTTCAATTTTGTTCATTTTTTCTTCATATTTTTAATATTGCATATCATGCTAATATTGCATAGATAATATTGCATTACGTCAGACAAAAAACAGAGCTTTCAAATTATAAGTTTCTTACATTTTCCTTGTTCACATAGAAAACTATCTGCTGGTGGCAGGTAGATTGCACGATTTCTTGGTAGTATACATGACGTGCCATTCATGTTTTCTGCGAACTCGTGTGATTGTATTAATTACCGATAGCGAATATGCAGCCGATCTGCGAAAATCATTTAATTGCTCAAACAATTTCTTCCATATGCGTATATGCGTCACGCGCATAGCATTAGTATAATATTACAACAGTACTTGTCATTGCTCTTCTATCCCCCTTTTCTCACTGTTTGGCAATTGTTGTCTACTTCTCGTACTCACTTTTTGTTGTTTTCTGTTAAATGGTCTTATGTAAATATGTAAATATGTAAATATTGAGAGAAGACCGGGAGAAAACGTGACTATCGTATTCCGTCGCATCAGAGATTTCTGGGATGTATACTTGGTAGCGTATATCATAGTGTTATTTTAAAAAAAGTTTAAATAATCGATATCTCCATTGGGAGAAATAAGCTATTTTTATACGATCCCGTCAGAAAAAAAGAAAAAAAAAAAAAGAAAAAAAGTATCATGAAGAAAGAGACGGAAATCCGAGACAAAATAAACCACTTCCGCAGAGACCACATCTTGTGCCTTTTTTATCGATATAAGACAAGATATAAAACATTTTTGACGCATAACAAAGACGCATAGATCGATCATGCGCTAATAACAATATATATATTAATATTTTTAAGAAATAATAGATTCGATATATAAAAATGTAAATGAGTTCGTTCGTTATGCACTTCGCTTTCGATGAATTAATTTACTGAATAATGATAATTTACAAAGATGTTCCGCGAACAATTTATCTGTCGTTAGAATATTTAAAACGATAATAATGTTACAATATTAAAATGATAGAGACAAGCACGCGGGATGTTGCATAAAATATAATTCACTGACTGATGGAAAAATCGAAAGTTGGAGATGAAAAATTAAAAAGACATATAAGAACAATTTTAAAAGAGAAAAATCACACGTGCCTTATATAATATGTATTCATATTAAAGTTGTATATATCGCTCGCACGAAATTTAGTGCGAGATAAGACAAATCACAGGGACACATAAATTGTATAATATTAATTATTGTAGAGTGATAATGTATAGATTTTAATTAGTATTTATAAGATCAACTTAGAAGTGATATAATTATGCCTATATTTTCTATATACAATTCCATGTTCAAATTATGAAAATTTTCTTTGCCTTTAATATCGATCAGTGATCACAGTCGAATAATTTAAATAAGAAGGAGATTATACATTGAACTAAGTCGGTAGTTAATTATTGTAAACATAAAAAATAGTATTTGTATTTAAATAACGAATAAGAAACAAAACTTAAAAAACAATTAGTTTAAAGAATTAGAAATTATTTATTAACTTTCAAATTTTGCGAATTAAAATTGAATTTATCGCAACAAAAAAAAACTTATAAAAGAAACATCAAAGCTTAATCATAGAATTGGAAAGACTATTAGAATACCATATTTATGAACTTTGAATTTAATATATTAATAATGAATTAATAATATTAAAATATTATAATGATGTAATGTATATTATATTACATATAATTATATTATATTAATATGTAATATATAATATAATGTTATATTATATAACACATATTATATAACACATATTATATTAAATATTATTATATTAATATTATATAATAATGTTATAATATTAATATAATTATAATATTTTTTGAGTTTCATTTCCTATTTCTAAAATGATTTCTAATTTTAATCTAAAGAGAAATATCAAAAAAGTAAAAACATTTTCATTTTTAATATACAGCTATTTATATTAATAAATTCTTTTTTAAAATATGTATTCTAACTTTCTCTAACACAACATTTTTAACTTGCAAAACGCACAAATAATTTCTAATTCTGAACATTATTTCTTTATTTCCACGTAGTGAACGGGGACAATTGAAGGCATAACAATTCTATAAATAAATGTTTTTCATAATATGAATGCACTCTGTTCTCAGTGCACTAAGATTGACGCGATTCAACGAGATGAATTACGATCCTCGAAAAGATAAGCGATCTTTCGCGTTTGACTTTGCTGGCGAATTATCAGAGGAAAACTTTTTGTGAATCATTGTTAGATGATGTTAAAGGAAATAATATTAGATTGCAAGATATACGCCTGAATCAGAAAAATATTGCTACATATCAACATTTTCTCAACTTCCTCGATCAATCAGCTGATCAATTTTGAAATCATAAATATTGTAAAATGGTCATATCATAAATTTCTAAAATAAATTTTGTATTTTATGTATATAAATATAAATATCAAGCGCTGAAATGTGATTGTAGTTTTATAAAGATCTGTAAAGATTATAAATGATAATTTTATAAAGAATTAATATTTTAACTAACTTAACTTTATTTTATCGAATTTTGGAATCAAAAATTGATTTTTATAGTAGATTTCTAAACAATCAAGCGGTTGCCAAGCGATCAGCAAGAAAGGCAATTCTGTAAATCACTGCTGCAGACAGGGCAGTTACGTTAATGTTTCAATATTCACGCTTAATCGAGCCCATTCGTGATGCGACATTAGCCAACATGGTTGTCTGTGCGATCGCCTCGTACCGAGCTCTAATTTATCATCTCACAAGTAATAAAATCAAGATATGACAGATGATAATAATTATTTTATTTCACGGAGAACTCATCAGAGTATATATTTTTCCTTTCTTTATATATTTTTTTAAATAAATATTTTTGTCAGAATCTTTCAATTTTGTTTTAAAAATTAGATAAATGTGAATATTTTTAATTATTTAATTATGTACACAAAAAATACATATCTTTTTATCACAGAATGATTCGCCAATCAAGTCCGAGGATCGAGAGATCGAACAAAAAAAAATATGTTCGCGCTTTGCCCACAATTGTTAATAGTGTTCAAGGCGACAATGTACAATAAAAAACGCGCGTGCGTAATTATAAGCCATAATAAATTACATAATGCCATAATACATTTTACGTAAAGAAAGGCTGTATGACTGACGAAAAAATTCTCGAAAATCACGCGAAAAATGAATTCGCCGTTGGAGTGCCTTGTATGCGTATGTGAGTGTGTTTGTTGCGTGTCCGCCTGTATTCGTATATATGTAGTCACGTATACACCACAGCCTACAAGAGTCTGTTTAACAAGAGGCATAAGGCGTATATATAAGCAATATTTTTTAAGTGCATAAGAAGGGAGAAGGTTTGTCCCTTTTGTGGGCAAAAACCCCCCGCGTTTTATTGTCCGTACGACACACAAATATATATATAAGCATAATGTTCGTATTGTACATGTACAAAAAATTTATATAAAAAAGCGATAAAGAGCTAGAACGTGAAAATATCAAAGAAAGTACATAAAAATTTATTTATCTATATATACATATATATATATATATATATATATATATACATGTATATATATATATATATATATATATATATATATATCGAAAATTATATTTTGATATGAACAACTTACATGACGAACGCGCCTCTGAAAGAACTCGCCCGGTGCCTTCAAATAGCTCATGCCTTACAGTTTCTCGCGCGAGGAGGAATCAAGAATTGTGAATCCCTTGCTGATAATAATATTTGTCGCATTGTATTTTGACGAAATTGCGATTGCGAATAATTTAAAAACTGAAGAAATGTATAGATATACCAGTGACCTCCTCTCGCGCACAAGCATATAATATCAGTATTTCAACTATTCCTTATTTATTGTTTCGCGTGACACGTAAAGAACCTCCAAAGTCCCGCAAAGAAACTCGTCATCTCTATGCCTTCCCGATCGCATACTTCGCAGAAATGTTAAATTTTTCGTAAACACAACCTGCGTGCAGTCGTCAATTTAATTCGGCCGAAGATTATCCAGCAATTTATTGTTCATCAACATTTTATCTTGCTGTTATTGTTACATAATCGATAAACATTAAAAGAAAAAGACGCACGTGGTTTCGCTAAAGCTCAAGAACACGATATCTAATTAAAAATAATAGAATAATCAGCATTTTCATCTTGTAAACAATTGTAACATTTTTAATTTCGCATCTTTTATTGTTTATTTTTGTGCGCCTTTTTTCTCATTGCCGACTTTTGTTCGAAACAACCGCTTATGATTTATCAATTTATGAACGGAAGCGAGAAAGAAATGAAACTGTCAAAGAATAAGAGTGAAAATGTATGAGTTTAATGTTCGAAGAGTGCAAGAGAGAAAGGCATCGAGATATAAATTCTTTTTTTGTGCGTCGCAGAGACGTGAAATTATTGTATTAAATATTGTATCATATACACGCGCGTATAGATTATATGTATGAAGCGTGCCAAACAACAACAAGAACACCCATTTGTTATTTATAGCGTCTTTAAGCATGACACGCTTCATATGACATAGAATTTAACCGAATTTGAGAGAAAATATAAAAGATTATTTTAAAAGAATCCACCTGTGTTTTGCTCTTCCTGCCTCAAATTTATCTTTTAATATCGCTTATGCATCTTGTGATCGATGATGAAGCTTGTACAAGATGCTGTCTGTCGCAGATGTACTTTGAAACAATATTATTATCTTGATAATTCGATCACAATTCGAGCAGTCGAAATATCGAAATAATTTTTATGAGAGATGAGATATGTTTCTAAATTTCATCTGGAAAAGTAAACCGTAAATTGTCTTTCGAAAGATTATTTTCAAATTAGCGTGCAAGTAATAATTAATTAATAAAAAATTAATAAGAATTTGAAAAAAAATAAATTTCGATAAATTTAATTATAAATAAATTTTTGAATTTTCATGAATGTGCTTTGCTTCCCATAATTCTAACAATAATTATAGTTATTATATTTTGTACAAAATTATTGTATTATTAACTGTTCGTTATTTATTTATCATACTTATGGAAGATTTATTATATTTTCTAAGAGAAAAAAATTAAAAAATTATACGGTATAAATTTATTATCTGAAAAAGCACGATATTTGAATAGCTTGAAGAAAGCTTGTTGCATTAGCGCATTTGATGCAATAGGTCTTTCTTCTACTGATATGATTCATAAAGTCTTTCTCACGCATATCTGCAAACCGTATAAGCGCTTATCTTGTTGGCGAGTATTTCAACAGTTACTCGATAGTAGGGGAGAGAAAAAGTTTTATTCCCTGGTTACATCGATTCAAGCATTTCCGCTTGAATTATGGAACAAGCGCAGTATTTAAAGTCGGAAATTTCGTAATATTTCGAATTAAATCTTACTGTTATCGCTGATTTATTTAACCTTTTGCACTCGAAATTACTTTTATTATAATATCGATAAACATTACGTCAATTTCTATCTCGCGGTCTCAAGGTCTCGTCTGTGAATAGTTAAATCAAACTCTTAGTTAAATCAATTTTAAATGCCTCGCAGTCTATGTAATAATATTTACCTCATTTGTGTACATTTATTTCATTGTTGAAACTGTTATTCGTGATAAAGAAAAGATCATAAAAGTCTTTATCTCATTCAGTTACATTTCAATTAAAAGATATATACATATACATATATATATATATATATATATATATATATATATGTACATATTTATATGCATATCTGTAACATTTTTTATAAATCTGTATTGCATTTTTATATCGCATTTGTTGTTTCTCACGAAGACTATGGCTCTTAGAATTAATGAGGAAGTGGAGTTTTATTACAAGATCAAACGGTACTCGCTCCTTTCTCGCAATTAAAGATTTACGTAATTTCGCGCACACAAGTGACGAGTGCGGCCTCTCGAAGAGACTCCGATATCTCGCTCCGATTCGCCCCACTTCACGCGATAAAGATAAGCGCGCGAACCCAAGTCGTAGAGATTCATGCGCATCGTCTGCCTTTCGTCCCTCGACTTCCTCCCCCTTCCCTCTCCCCCTCGCCCCTTTCTCCACGCATACCGATACCGATGCACCGATGCATTGTTTCCCATATCGCGCTCGATTGGCAGCTCGCGCCTAAGGTTCCCCAGGCACGCAACACATACTCAAGTCCGCGTAACGCAGAAGCGCACGCATACAACGTAGACGACAATACATTGATGAATAAGCGGCTATGTGTGTGTGTGTAGCGTGTGTGTGTGTGTGTGCGTGTGGGTGTGAACGCGCTCTTCGTGCGATCGCTCACGTTTGCCTTGTTGTTAGTTGCTTCGAATTCTGATCTTTAGAATTGCACTACGTTCTCCTATAAATCTGTCTCCAATGGATTTCCTTTTAATTGTTCGAAAAATGTGAAAAATCTCGATCTCGTTTTTATGCAACGACACGTATATAGATTGTATAATTTTACATTACGCGCTTTCAAACCTTTCGTGAGCAATGATGTAGAATGCACGGTAAATTCCTGCTATGCAAATGCATGATTTATTGTCGATGTTTATCGTTGCACGAGTCCGGTAACGGGGAATAAAATGCTCTCGTCATTAAAAATAAAAGAGATTATAAAATGAGAATTTTTATGCCGAGACAGAAAGAGAGAAAGGAGAGAAAGAGAGATGCTTTAAAGTGATAATAAAGATTAATTAGTAAATGTCAGCGTTGGAGAAAAATGGGAAAAACGGAAATTTACATAGAAGAATAGCAATATAGCATTAATGATACACGCTATTTTTTAATTACTAACAAAGTATTGCAAAGTACTTTCATTTATCGTACACATCAAGCGTTCTTATTGATTTTAAAATATATATTTTAAAAAATATATTTCTTATAATAAATCTTAGTATTTACGAATAATAGAATTTGCACGGGAATAGTTATTATATAATAGTAGAGATATTATATTAATATTAGAAATAGTTTATATATATATATATATATATATATATATATATATATATATAATATATATACATAAAAGAACTTTTACTTTGTTACAAGTGAAATGTTTTTTTAAGTGAATTTTATTAACTCTTTATTTCTAAATTTGCGAAATATAAAACTTTTTTTATATTTTTTGTTTATTATATAATAATAAAAATTATTATTTTCTTTAAAATATAATTTCGTTTATTATATTTTGTTATATAATTAATATAACGTCTATTGTATAATATATCTTTTTTATATTTTTTGTTTATTTTTGTTTAGTAGAAAATTCGGTCTTAAACACATTCAACTTATACATACCTGTGTTAGTATTGCAACATAAGTGAAATGATTGCCAATGCACCTGAACAGATTGAGTAATCGTTATCTCATGCGGTAGTTGAGCGTACAAAAGATGAAATTCAGTTTCAATTTTCCATATTTCTTTCTTAATTATACCAAAATAAATAAATAAAATGCGCAGATCTCTATGTATGTTTAGTTTTTGCGTATATGCGTTTTGCTAGCATATTAAACACCGTCTTTTAATAGTGGAACAATTAACTTTTCGATATATCAAATCAATCTAGTTTTAACTTTTTTAACAAAAAATCAGAACTTTAACAAATAAACTTTTTTTAAAAATATCAGCGTGTATTTATTATCCAATTTAAAAATTTTTTCGTATAATAAAATAGAGAAAACATCATTTTTTTTCATGAACATGTTTATAATTACATAAAAATCGTTCTTTATTTGTAAACTAAATTAGGCGTACAGAAAATACATCGTTGTTATTTATGAATAACATACGTAAGAGTTTATTTAAAGAATGACAATGCATTCTTCGAGAAAGAATGTAAATCGTTAGGCGACATCGTGCGAAACCTCGCCTCGTTAAATCGTGATAATAACAACACTTGGCATTTTTATTAAGGTCACCGTATGCGCACTAAGCAGACCTTGAATCGGAACATGACTGTTGCAACGTGTCAATCAACGCCAATAAATGTCACCGGCTGGTGCAATGCAATTAGGAAGGGTGCAGTGGCACGGTCAAAAAAAAAAAAAGAAATTCACGCGATGACTTCGACGGAATGCAACGTATTTCGATCGTACAATATTAGAAGGGACATCAATTGCATCGATGTCACGATTTAACAGTCGCGTTCGGATCGAGTTGTGAGCGATTGATATTTAAATCGATGTACCTGACGCGGAGATGACATTACGTGTGTTTCGAGAAGCGTTAAGAATACTAATTAGACCAACACCTAGGTACTTAAAAAAAGTCTCGCCCGGAATATCTCTCTCTCTCTTTTTCTCTTTCTCTGTCTTGATCTATTCTCCGACCGGAAACGCAAAAGTGTATCGAAAAGACTAAAAGATTTTGGCGTTGCTCCAACTGTGAGCGACCGATTCTGTTTGCAGAACGTGCAAATAGTACAGTGGACATAATAGTCTGAGATTTCAGTGATTGTTCTTGCCGAGTGTGTGCCTCGTTGATTTTACTTCAACGCTGGGATTTACTTGCAACTTTTGGTCGAATTTCCTAGCTCACATCCACTCTTATCTTAAATGTTATAAAAAAACTTTTATGATATTTAATTTGTTAAATGTTACATTTTTTTGTTACAGAACATATAAATAATAATAACACTAATAACAGCAATTAATAATAACACTAATAACAGCATTAATAATAGAATACATATTAATGCAATTTAATTATTAGTACAATATTAAAATTTAAAAATATGAAAATTTTGACCAAAACTTTCACGGTGCTATTAGATGAGTATTATCTTATCACATTTGTCATACGGTCTTAAGACTGCATCCATAGAAAAGATTTCCGGATCTAATGCTCTATCATAAAATAGGATCGATAGTGATAAGTCTATTTTTTTTATTAAAAAAGAAATATTTTAATCTTAATTAAATGGAAAATTCTTAAATCTAGGATGAAATGATTCCTTTCGAAGAATTAGTATCGCGTATCCTTAATTAACATTCACTTATTGAGTATTCGCAGTTGCTACATGCGAGTGATAAGAGGGATGCGTGGGTGTAAGCTAAGAAATTCGGCCAAAAATTGCAAGTAAATCGCATTGTTTTACTCGCAAGTCGCTTCTCGAAGTGCGTAAGGAATCGGGAGAGAACACGAGGAAGTGTGTCGCGAAACGAGAAATCGGCGGATCCTCGTGGAATAACGTGCAGCCCGAGCTTGGTAAATAACGCGCTATTTGCCAAATACTATTATTACTCATGAATTTTCATCAATCGCGCGATACCCTATAATCCACCAAGTTTCCATGTCCCACATAAAGCGTGCGTTCTCCCTCCCCTCCCGCTATTATAGATTAAAGATATAAAACTTGACGGACGAGATATTATTAGAACTTTCCTTTAATCCTGCTCCGATAGATTTGCTCTCTTATCGGCGATCTATGTAAAACAGATTCCTGATAGATGTTTCGAGATATTTTAAATGCGTAAGCAATACCCTCTCTCTCTTTCTATTATTTTCCAGAAAGCAAATTCTTGTAAATTAATTATATAATATCGAAGAAACTTGCGTTGTATCTTGGCGACATAAACGTAATAAAATTTTTTTTCTCGGGGTCGGGATTGACGCCATATGTTAATCAGTCTGAACTATGACTGAACTATGATGATCGAGTATGAGGTATAATCGTAACAAATTGATACGCGCGAGAAGATGTATAAATCGAGAACGATGACATGGAGTATATATTGGAGAGACAAGAATAATTTATAACGTGACGTTAAGAGAACGGGCGTTACATTTAAATGGTAATTCGGTTCGTGAGACCCTCAGGCAAATAAGATTCGAGCAGGAGAGATGCTCATTTTCGCGACGCTTGCTAATTATAAAACGGACGTTTACACTCTGAAAGCCTGTCTCTTCGGTACACGTGTTCTCGATGTCGCAGGAAAGAAAAAAGAAAGGAAAAAAAGGAAAGAGAGAGAGTCTCGGTCGTAATTCCCGCAATGGCGAGAAAATCAACGTTTGCGAAAGGCCTATTCAGTGAATATTTTTATCTCGGCTCGAGACGTCTTCTCGTTTCTTTGCTGTCTCTTCTTTTCATTCTGTTTTCATCGCTTTTATGTTACCGCGATATCAAACATTGGAACTGTCTTTTTAACTGACTTGACACTTTCTTATCTCTCTATTAAAATTATCTAGATTTAGAAAACATATTAAATACATGAATTCGCGTGCGAGAAAATTGTCGCTAAATTAAAAATTATATTACAGATTTAAAAAAGATGGAAGAAATGTGTGGAGAAAAAATATATACTAAATGTTGATGCAAAAATATACAAAATACATAAATGTCTATGCATGAATCTCTTGAATCTTATGAATCTCCTGAAGTAATCATTGACTTGAGCAAGGAAGAGATTCACAAGAGATATCAAGATGCTGCAAAAGTTATATTCAATGTAAGAAAATATGAAAAAGAAATATAATTAATTTAATTCAAATAAATTTTTAACCCCGTGAAATCTTTAAATTACAGGAGCAACAAAATAAAAAGAAGAAAGTTGGCAGTTATCTCAGTTTTGGGAGCAGTCGCAGAACAATAGAATATAGTAATAATGGAAATCATCCTGTCATCATACGAAAACCTGAAGGTTCTATGATTAAGCAGAATACTCATTCATATTGGCCGATATCGAAAGAATATCGTAAGCCAAACGAAAAGTGCGCAATAACTTAATGAGTAGAAAATGTTATAATAATTTGTTCAATAAATTTAATTGTTTGCACTAACATTAGTATCAATTCTGAGGAAATCTTTATATACACATATATTATTATACTATTATAAGGTTTAAACATTTCTCAATACGTTCATTACCACATAAAACTATTTTTCACAATCGCTTTATAAAATATACTTTGTAACAAAAACAAGCATAATATAATACATCTCAGTTAACATCTAAGGATGTGCAAATACTCACAAAATTTAAGATGGGTCCAAGCATGTTCATAGTCTCTCTCTCTCTTTCTCTCTTAACTTGACTTAGAGAAATTCTTAGAGAAATTAAAAATGGAAAATATTTTGAGTACTTACATATATACTCCTATTGCTTATTGTAAAATAAATACAATATAAAATAATATAAGCAATGGACATAATTTTTCCCACAAAAATGATAAAAAAGTTTTTTATCATTTAATCATGAAATTATTTGTTCCTCGATATGCGTTACGATGTAATTACGATTAAATGCAAAAAATTATCTGGATAACTTAAATGCTCTGACATCCACTGAAGCGGTGTTTCTAAAGGTGGCACAATGCCATGGGTGCGCACTGTAACTGTAGAAATTTATAATTAATCTTATTTTTTTCTAAATAAATACAGATGTGTATATATATTTGTTCCTATATATATATAAAATTCGTTTCTATATAAAAAAAAACAGATTACAAACCATTTTCTTGATCTGGGAATACTTCATTTAATAAATGCTTCAAAGTCTTTCTTTGACCTTCTTCATTCATTGGTTTTACAAGTTTTTGTATATATTTGTCTTCATTCGTATAGCATCGGAAAGGTATATATTTGAATCCCTCTTCGGTACTGGTTTCCATAAGTCTACCATTCACAGACCAAAACTGATCAAATTTATCATTCATAATACCATTCCACAGCTGTGTATGGTCTTTCTTTTGCATACTAGAAACAATTTGTCCTCTATGCTTTAGAACATCAGCTTCTTTTATGCAAGAAAGAAAATGGGCTTCTACAACTTCTCTAAAAATTACATATTATATTTATATTGTCGATGTAAACCAATAAACAGTAAGTAAATAAACAGTATATACTCTGTCATAGAACAAAATACATTACATACTTGTTTTGACAATGCATTAGAACATTCTCTGGAAATTTATCAAAGTGGACAACAATATTCCAAGGTAATTGAATGTCATTGAAATAAATATCCAATAAAACACCAATTGGATAATGCCACTTTAATGGTATTCCATTAAATTCCAACCACATCTCATGCTCTTGTTTGTCACTTTGTATGTGCCGTATAAAGTGTTTGCGTACCTAAGACGGAGAGAAACAATACGCATATTTAATCAACACATTGTTCGAACACATAATGTTAATAAAATAAAATAAAATAAAATAATAAATAAAGTAGCAAATTCCAATAAGATATGTTGCAAACACACTTCTTACCTTCTCAGTACATAATGGAAAGTAACTTAACCTAGGTACCATTAGGTAAAACGGATCTGGCCCTTGTAAATCGCAGATTTCCTCGGAGTTGAGTGTAAAACAGACTGGAATTTTTCCATCCCAAATTTCCCGAAGTACCTCTCTATCGTTCGCCATTGAATCAATACGAATGTATTCACTCCCACACTTGTTGTTGTGTAAAACAATTCGATAACAAACAGTCGGGAAACAATAAGGTTATACTAGGTTACAATTAGTTGTTCTCGCGCAGAAGAATGAGAGAACGTCCTCTGTGGGCATGAACTACGAAGCCAATGTCCACGAAAGTTCTCAGAGGATAACATATAATATGCACAATTTCTGGTTTTGTTCCGTGCACGAAATGCCAGTGCTGTATAACAAGACGTTTAATAAATTTTTAATATAAATGAATTTTGTGGCCCTGCCTCCCTCCCTCCCTCCCTCCCTCTCTCTCTCTCCCCCCTCCTCCTCCCTTCCTCTCTCTCTCTATACATATATATTTAATTAATATGTTATATGTAATTAATTAAGCAGTATTTATAAAGTCTCGATTTTTAATTACAAAATTGTTAAGGATTACATAATACAAACCGCGATATGCAAAAAATCATCAATATATTTATCAATTATTTTTATTGTAAAAAAATAATTGATAAATGTATATAATTAAATATTTAAATTATATATAAGTAAATATTTAAATTATATTAATTTATTTTTTATGCGGATTTTCTAAGAAAGAAAATTCGCATAAAAAGATAAATTGAAGTGAAATTTTGATGTAAGCCAATGATAAAATAAAAAAAATAATAATTGCGATTAAATAAAATATCTTAATTCATAAATAATTTGAAGCTAATTTGAGGAGAGATCAAAATCAAATGATCGGATGGCATAAGGGTTAGCATTCGATAAATAGAAAAACGATATATTAAACGCAATACATAGAACGATCGCAACGTATTTTACTTTACATCGGATCCTATGGAATTGATTTGCGAAGGAAAATTAAACTCGTCAACTAAAATATCAAGAATCCCGCTACAGGATGAAACGAATCCTGGATTTTCCGAATTGTTCCCAATAGCAATGATTCATGTATATATACATATATATGCATATTGTATATGTATATCATTTATCTGTCCGTCATCTAAACCTTCTTTTCTTTTCTACTCTGCTATTTCTTATGGCATTTGCACTTACTCGAATTTCTTGTGGCACTTGCTTTAATTCACAAAAATATTTAATTTATAAAATTGTGATCAAAAATGCGTTTAGAAAAAAAATTCGATAATATATAAAGAGTTTCATTTATCATATCGTTATTTTACTGTTTGAATGTCGCCGTGCAAATGATAATAAAATGACACCTAAACAATATCCTGCTGTTTATATCAACAAGGGTAAACACAGTGTTGTCAATTCATTGTCTAAATATTTTAGATAGATTAATTCTTTTAGATTATAGATTAATTATTTATTAAACGATTGATATATCTCTCTCACGAAGCCTATCGTTATGTTAATTACTCTATTCTATAATTCGGTCGTTTTATTGCGCATCCTCAATCCGAAATATTGTATTTAGTTCATCAAAGAGCCAAACGACATAAAACATCGAACAAGATATATTTAATTTTAAACATCATTAAAGAAATAATTGTTTGTAAAGATTGCAGTGAAATATTATTAATTTAATAACTTATTCTTTGTGTCATTACGGTTCTTTGATTCTGTCATTTTATTATAAACATATCATAGAAAATACGCTAAAATAAACATATCATAGAAAATACGCTCTTCGAGATCTCGCGATATATTGATTATTGTTTAACGTATATAAAAGATAATTTTAGAAAAGGGATACCATGAGTTACATGTTGCAAAGATTGAATATAAAATATTACGAATATAAATTACTTACTGCGCATATCCGTTGTTTGTAGCTCGATGTTTTTTCAAATCTTCTTTTCTTTTCCTTTGTTGTTCCCTCATGGCACTTACACTCGCGAAAAAATACGTTAAATTAATATTTTAAGTACGTGGAACATTTTGCACAACACTTCCGATCACAAATAATCATACGAGATATATACGATATTTTCTTATATCTAATAGATATAATAAAATATCAAAAAACAATTCAAAAAGCAATTCAAAAAGCAATTCAAAAAACATGATTCGCTAGATGTTTACATGAGATTAAAATCATACGTCACTTGTAATAAAAATGCTATCAGTTGTTGATACATATATATCATATACGCATAATAATAGGAATTATAAACAAAAGTATAAATCAATAAAAGTGATAATGTAGTAATGTAATTATAAGTTAATTAAGTATAATAATCATAGCGAATTATGTTTCGATATTAAACGCAATCGCATTATGAAAGAAAATTCCATAATATACGGAGCGTTTCGCATCGCTACTTTATGCTCGAATGTCGCCGTACGAATGATAATAAGACCGTAGGCATGTAAACAGTAGCGCGGTATACGTACGCCGCCAAGGCTGAACATGTTATTGATGACGTCACCGCCGTTTTTTAGATACTTTGGCACACATTTTATTAATATATTACGCGGAATATTACATTACATTATAGAAGTATTAATATTACATTATAGAAGTATTTTAATATCAATTAAATATTTATTAATATGCAGTTAATCTTCATTCTCTAAAAGTTTGATTTCTTTTAAAGTTTAGATAATTATATTTTGTTGTAAACATTACATTTCAAAGTGCACGATTTTTTTACATATAACTTGAATCTTGTTCTTTAAAACAAGCTATGGTAAAATTCGACAGGATTACTTGTTTAAAAGTTATGATTTTTTTCCTAGGTGAGATATATATGTCCCGGAGGTACGAAAGAGTTAAATAATTGATATTATATCACGGAGTCTTTCATTATACTTATTCGATTTTACAATTCGATTGTTTTATTGTGCGGTTTGAATTCGAATTATATATAGTTGATAAGATATTATGAATGAAATATATTTAACTCTAAGTATCGTTAGAAATTAATTATTCGTTAGAAATTAATTAATCGTTAGAAATTAATATAATTATTGCTTAAGTCTTATTATTTATTTCCGTTTCTACATGCGAAGTTTAAAGAGAAAGTGCTCGAAACTACACCACTATAAACGAGCGTGTAAGTAACTGAAATATATGAAATAAATTTGTGTGAGTAAATTAAGACATAAATCTTGCACGCGATAAGAAAGTCGATGACAGGTGGACACGTAAATCGGTACATATTTTGGTTTAGTTTTTATCTGCGTATCAAATTACAGTAAGTGAAGCCGAGCCGATGCTCGCTCGAGCTCGTCCTTTAAAAGCAATTAGAGATAAGGCGAGAGAGAGAAGGATGCGACGAGGACGCGACAAGGATGCGAGAAGAAACGCGAATAAGACGCGAGTACTTTGCGAGTTGACGAAATCCGAGTTTTCTATTGGTTTTAAAGATCGAGGAACTATGATTATTGGCTATCGAGTCCGCGTGGAGTATTATCTTCGCAGTTCGCGCGGATTATTTAGGTCAGAAAAAATTCGGGATGCTACTGATATATCGAACATCTGACGCGAATATTAATCGTTACGCAAGATCAAATTTAGCGCAAATACATTGAGTTTTAATATATTTATAGATCTATTTTGTATAAAATACAATATCTAAATTAATTGATTGCAATATTAATAATTATTAATATATTGATTTTAATTATAATGTTTTATGTTTATAGAAGATCGCTTTTAGGAATCACCTAAAAGCAGACCATAACATCTCTCGTTCTTCTCTCTGCACCTGCTGATTTTTAAAATTACCATCTGTCAACAGTTATTTTATTATTATTATGATAGACATATTATTATAGACATATTCAATTTTCTTGCAAATCATATACAATAAAAAGGAAATGAGAAATATTTTTAAATATTGTAGATCGAAATCTTTGAAAGAAATGAAATTACAACTCTCAATATTCTTTTTTATATAAAATTTTTTTTATCCAAAATCCATTAATTAATCTATTATCAATTGAGCAAATTCCTCTATAATTTTCTAAATTTTATGAATAAAACAATATATATAAAACAATATATATCATTGTTTTATATGATAGAATTTCTCTTCTTTACAAACATATTTTATTTTAATCTTGCAATTAGCAAATTTATATAAAAAAATTTTTTCAGTCTTATAAAATAAAAAACTTTATAAATACATTTTTTCAATCTTATAAAATAAAAAATGTTATAAATAAATTTTTTCAATCTTATAAAATAAAAAAATTTTATCAATAAATTTCTTTAATCTCTTATAAAACAGAAAAATTTTATATCTTTTTATTACAATTATTACAAATATCTTTATGCAATGCAGCATGTGTGTATGTATTACAATAACAATATGTATTACAATAATTAATACATTGATGAAAACAATTATAATCAATTATGCAAACAATTAGTCACGTGGGAAGACAACGAACACACAACATATGCGAATACATAAATAATGTACTTTTTTTTTATTGAAATAATTCACATCATAAACATGTACTTGTTATAACAGGAAGGTATTCTCCTACCAGTTTCACTTCACATTTTAATTATATGTATGTGTGTATGTGTGTATGTGCGTGTGCGAGAGTGTGTGTGTGTGTGTGTGTGTGTGTGTGTGTGTGTGTGTGTGTGTGTGTGTGTGTGTGTGTGATATTCCATACACATATATATAAATTTCTATATACATATGATACACATACATTTTGTTTACATAAAATATGGAAATATAATTTGTTTTATATAGGGAGGCCTTATTATATAAAAAAGAACATAATTTTTGAACTCCAATTCTAACGAACGAATTATCGAGGCGAATGAGAGCGAATTATTTCTGTGCGCGTGTCTTTCATATATGTATTTACAGCAACGTAACAAGTTTTCAATTTATCTTTCATTATTATATCAGCTATCTATCCGATTTTAATGTACTGTCGATTCGACAAATCGGAAACGTCACTTTCAAGGTATCGATTAAAATGATTAAAATTGTTACGCGAGCGAATATCAAGATCTGATTATCTCTGATTAACATTTCGATTGATACAATCGCTTCTAGACAGTTGCTTAAAAGACTTGAGCAAATTCTTATTCGATCTTTGACTGCTTTCATCTTGTCAACTCTCGTTATAGAATACTAAATGCTAATTGTAAGTATTAAACACAAGTATTAAACACGAAGAGTATTATATATTTGGTTTCGCAGTCTGATCGAAACAATTTCCGTTTCCGAGTTAAATTAATCTCGTTTCTTTCCGATTAATTATTTATTATCGACATCCGTTTCGTGTCTGGGAAATTTACGACGTTTCAATTAATTCGTGTTCTGTCATTATAATGAAGATAATTCGTACTGACGACTATGAGCTTTTTGGTATGTTGCCAATCGATCCTTTATTACTTATTGATCGTCAAGTCTAGCGGCAAATCCTGCTCCATCTCGGTGACGTTCTCGTTCTTCACTCTGAGGTCCTGGCCACACGTGTTGGCGGTGTCCATAATGTTGCCCCACACGTTCTCCAACCCGTATCGCAGCTCCATCGAATCCAGCAGGTGTCGGAAGACCGGGTTCTGCGTCTTGAGAATAAAATCCGAGAGGATCTTCGTTTTCCGTAGCATGCTATCGTTGCTGTGTACGCAGCACTTGTGTCGACAGCAACAGTCACCGCCGACGTCCTTGAGCTCCTCCTTGAAAGGTGTCTGCTCTATCTCCATCTTCAGATCCTCCGCCCGCTTGATCACCGAGTGTCTGACTGGATCAGAGCTCATTGTATTTTCCTTTTTGCAGGGTGTGCTGTTGACGATTGACTCAATGTTCCTGTAGTCAACCGTAGAAGTCTTGGTGACGCTGCACTCCATGGGTTCCTCGGTCTTGATGGGCGTCGATTGCATCCCGATGCGTGGTATCGGGTCGGATACTCGACCGGGACTTGTGTGAGGTGACGACACCACGGAACAGTCCTTGATGATGGTGCTACCGGAAGCGTACATGGGATTCACTTGGATTCTATCCGGTATGATGTAATTGTCATCGTACATCCTTGGATAGATCTTCACGTCCTGCTCGTACGGCTTCGGCGGAGTGACCTGCTCTTGCTCTTTCCGTTGCTCCTGGAGATTGTACATGTTGTTCCACTCGACGAAACTCTTCTGTTCTTCGAAGCTGTTACTAGCCTTGGGACTGGAACCAGATATGCTGCTCTCGATGCTCGAATTCTTCTTGTCCGACTCGGAATACGTGCTGCTGCTCTGTTTATCTGGCGAATTCACGTCGAACCTGGTTTTCTCCTGAACGTTGCTGTCGTCGAAACTCTTCTCTTGAACTTTGTCGTTATTATTTACGTAATGACGATAAGTTTTGACGTGTTTTCTCAAAGACGACGGATCGGTGTACCTCTTCGAACATCCCGGTACCTTGCAGCAGTAAGGCTTGTCCACGGCATGGGTCCTGGTATGCTTGAACCTGTCCGAGGAATTCGAATAGGCCTTGTTGCAACCCTCGACGGGACAGACGTAGGGACGCTCGCCGGTATGAGAACGTGCGTGGATCTTCAGGTTCTCGGCTCTGCTGAAGCTCTTATCGCACTGGAAGCAATGGTGAGGCTTCTCGTTCGTATGCGTGCGTACGTGGACCAGCATCTTGTACCTGCGAAAGGGAGGTATGAGTGTTGGTCGAAAATGCATTTATATATATATATATATATATATAGGTGTTTTAATGCATTTGAAGGAATTTTACCTCGCGTTAAACCCACGTTCGCCTCTCGCGCATCCTTCCCAGCCACAGTAAAACAGACCCCGCGGTCCAGGCGCAGCGTGCAACCTTGCAACGTGCCCTGCAAGTTGTTCCAGGGATGTGAACCATCGGCCACAGTCATGCCATCTGTAAAAGAGAAAAATATTAATAATTTCTATCTTTTAATGTATATTTAATTTTTTTTAATTGCCAATTAATCTCTGCGAAATCGCGAATCGTGACTAATCGAAAGTGATGCAATGAGAATGCAGCCTTCCGACGTGCTGAAATATCGAAATATGATTTGCGTCACAAATGTGCTCGCTTACTCGACCAATTGATACCAATTGCGGCCATTTTGCAATTGCCGCCGTTTGACACCAGTTTATCGTAACGGAGACCACGATGTTCGGTACTATTCCAGACAACGACAACGAATTCCGCCAATTAAGTGGCACGGATATATCCACGGGAGGTCGTAGATCAAGGCAATTTCGAGAGAGATTTGATTGGCCGGAGCGGCTCTCGTCTTTTCATTTTTTTATTCACAAACAGCTATAATATATATCTTGTATAATGGATGTTATAAATTCACTTTGCGTTTTTTATTTAATATAATTTGAAAATAATGCATAGCATAGATAGGATGTTCAATCGAACTTTTCTTTAACAAATCGCATATATTAATAAGTGTTATGTGTGGAAAATATGATAAATTTAGATAAGAAAAAATGTATAATATTAATAAAATTTATAGAAATAAATTTTTGAGAGATAATTTCGAGTGAAATTTAATATAATGATGACGACTTCAAATAATGAAACTTATTTATGGTGTACTTTATGATACGTTACGATTGTCATGCATTCGTCACGTGAAAAAAATAATGTTTTCACGATAATCTTTAAGAAACCATGATAATAAAGTTGCTTTTTACTAGTGATAACATTAAGTCAATAGAGAGTTGGAACTTGATAGATCATTCATACACATTATTATCAGACGACAGAGGATGAAAAGTCGAAGTTGTAATGAAAAATATTTAAACAATATATATCATTCTGTGGCTCCCTGCAACTTCAACAAAATTTCCCGCTTTCTCTCGTTATCTGAAAGTAATTGTTATCGTTTCGCCTTATATCGAGTCAAAATTTTATTGATGATAACTTTAAATACAAACCAAGACGGTTATAAATCTGCTTATCATTAAAAATACATATTCTCCTCCCGAGAGTGTAAATTGAATTAAATCGAGCTAATTATGAGGAATCTAAATTCAAAAACACGCGAGCTTTCAATCACGCAATATACGACGTTATAAAGTAAAAGGGGTCGAGATGTATTTCAGAATTTCCTCGACGAATAGAAAAATTTCCGACTATCAGTCGAGATACAGAAAACTGGTTGCAACCGGTATGCGCGTAAAGATACTCGCGTCTACATTGACTCGAGACAGAGATTAACGTCATTTAACGAGGAGAGACAAACGTCTGCGACAACATAGTGCAAACCGAGGCATTTGATTATCTCTGAGGTGTGGGTTTAAACGATAATTTCGTGATAACAAAGACAAGAAGCACATTGTTTTTAATTTACAATATAAATTTTTTAAATTATTTATTATGGATAAAAATTTCATGTATGTAACTTCTTATAGATATAAAGAAATCTCATATTAAATATTGTACAATGTGCTTTAATACATTTTTAATAATCTTGTCTCTGTTATCACGAAATTATCAGCATAGACTAGTACTTCAAAGATAATCAAATGCGTCGTTTATATTGTATATAATGTATACTCGGTCACTTTTGACTCTCTCTCTTCTCTTTTTTCGGAAATACTTTAGATAATTCATACAATTATTATAAATCTTATCTATAAATATAATGAATGATTAAATATTATAAATCTTGTTTATAAATATAATGAATGATTAAATATTATAAATCCTGTCTATAAATATAATATATGAATGATTAAATATTATAAATTCTGTCTATAAATAATGAATGATTAAATTATATGATAAAAATTTAACCTTTCCCTCCTGTTTTTCTTTTTCTCACCTGCACTTTAATTGGGCGTTTTCGCCGGTCCTGATGGTACCTAGTTCCAAGCTCGAGCTGGACGCGTCCGAGTCGCTGTGCGCCGGACTCGGGGGTCCACCGGTGCCAAGGGTGCCCGGTGGCACCCCTGTGGCCGGCGAGGCCCCAAGTTCCTCCTCGGCCGGCATCCTTCGCGGCCAAATCGGAAGATCCAGCGGCCCTGGTTGATGCTGGACGCTGAGGCTCCCGTAATAGCTCGGGCCCGGGCTGGTGGTGTAGCCGGAAACCGAGCTGTAAAAACCCGGGGCAGTTCCTAGCAGGGTGCCCGGGTAACGAGCGGCGCCGTAGGGACCAACGTGAGTTGGCATTCTGCCCGGGACGTAAACGATCATCTTTTTAATCATTTCTTTTTTTGCTTCTTTATTCCGCAATTTTATTCCGATTCGCCAAAGACCTGCAGATTTCGCTCCGATCGCTTTAATTAGCGATTCCCTTTAATTCGCGTTTTATGTAGGCTCGATTGTATTGAGTGTGTATTTACATAAGAATGTGTATGTGTACGTGTGTGTAACTGCCGTGAAAAATTAGTGTCTATGCCTCTCGAAGGAATCTCGCTCTTCCCGCTTACTTTGATCTTTCACGAGCCGCTCTAATGATCTTTCACGAGCTGACGTATCAGCGCATCGAGCAATGTCGTTACTCTAGATAAACTCGCTCCGAGACTCCGCAATTTCCCGTATATTCAACAATGTACCGCTAATGACTATTCTCTCGATACCTGTGACTTATTATCCTGCGTGAAAATTATCTTAACAAGAAAATCATTAGTTACTACGGCTACTCTTTCATATATGTGAAGCCGGTTTGGCAAACTTGTAATCTTGATTGCCAATTTTAATAAGCTTTCTCAAGATTTTCGAAATAGATTTGCTATCAATTGGATTTTTTTTCTGCTTCTGTGCTTCCTGCGCACACGTTTATTTTTCAAATTTTAATTCCCTCTATTCCTAATTAAAATCTCCTTGGTAATGAAATCATACGTCGTTACCAATTCAATTCAATTTTTCATTCAAGCTCGTATCACCTGTTGCCCTCGAAATATTCGCTTCACTAGCGATTTTCGATGGCACCGGGTCGATTATGTCGTCGTCGACGTACTTCCTCAAGCTCGCGCCGTAAAAAACGATCCAGCCATTGGACTTATACAAGACTTTCCAGGTCTTGTTGAGACACTCCCTTGCCTTTCTGAGCACCGTAAATACGACAAGCCGCCCGCGGTACAATACACACACACCACCTTGCGCGCACCCTCTATGTAGTCCGAGTCTGTATCGTCAGATATACTTGAACCGGTTGGACTTGAGTATACGATAGCTCAGAAATTGCTTGCTGTACTTGATCGAGAACATAACTGGGCTGGACAACCGTAGTGAACGAGTCATGAAACACTGCTGTCGCACTTCTGTAGACAATCTTCGCGCGTGTTATTTTGACGGATTCGCTTAATAACGCTGACCGCAGATGAAAAGTTTTGAATCGATATGCGCGTTTATCCAATAAACGACGAACGATTCAATCGATGCTAAGAGAATCCCATTTTTCCTGCTTGCTGGCCGTTGCTTATTGGACGGTGATCTCTTACAGATGACGCGTCGTAGAAGAAGAAGAGTGAAAAAAACAGCGGTCAGAGCTCGAAGATGAAGCTCGATGAACTTCTGCCGATTGAGTTGTAGTTAGGCTTGATTGCCCTCTTTATAACACGTTAAAAGCTACCAGTATCAATATAGCTCTTTATTTATCGCACTTTTTTCCGATTAATTTTTGCTCGAACGTTCAAGATAAGAGCTTGCTTGAAGTATCGTAAAGACTCTACTAGCAAAACGAAACATGAGGAATATCCAACTGATGGCGATGACGGATGCGCAGGCTTATATATACTCGCGCTATCATCTTTATTATGCCCCTCCACGAGTATCACCAACACAGACAAATCGAGTGATAACACTTTGTCGCGCACTCGGTGGCCTTCTCGATACAGTCATCTTAGTAAACGAGAGCTAATATCAAGTCGACTCAACGATTAATAGCGACTAATTATAAAATAACTTAAAACACACATATATAGACATATATAGACTTACAAAATTCTGTTTTGAAAGTTATTTTAGTATTGTTGAAATAATTTTGATCTAATACAGCGATGACTCCGATTTAGATAATCGTTAGAAATAATTTGATAGTTCTAAGAAAAATATAATAGCAGAATAATGAGAACGAATCACGTGCGGAGATAAATTTCATCGAAATCAAGATGAAAATTATATACAAGCGGAAAATTATCATTTATTCTGTAGACATTTTGTTGACGAGACGAAGATTGACCCCTGTTGACCTATAAGAAAGAGAAGGATACATCTACTGCGAAAAGCGAGACATCAAATCGCTCGGTCACCTCCCGCGGTGCAATCGCGATACCCCCGAATTTGTTGACTTTGTCCCACACGGCTGCCGCTGATCGGCAATGTACGCGGGTGGGAACAAAGTCCGCGCGTATCTCTCTCTGTCCTTTTCCCTCTCACAACTGGCGACGCGTTATCTAGCATATTAGCACGTCGGTGTGAATTGGTGGACTGCAAGCTGAATCAACAAGACCGAGCCGACGTGGTCTGGTAATTTCTTCCTTGCGGCGAAATCACGCGCTCTCTCGCGAAAATGACGCCAGCGTCCCTGGACGATGGTCGCCGGCTACCACGGCCGTCCGTGGGAGGGGATCCTCGTCATCAGGAAGCGAGCAACCGTTTCGAAAGACGATCCGGTGAAGGTCACTGTCACGTGGTTTCAAACACGTTCCTGGCGCGATGACGCAATTGATAAGACGATGGAAGGAGGTGATTTGTGATCGCGCGCGCGAGACGCTTAAAAGGAACGACGATTAAAAAAAAAAAGGAGTCGACAACGATCGGCGAAGATATCGAGGCAGATAAAGAGCAACAATGCGTGACCGTGAAGATGCGAGTTTCATAATTGGACGAGCGCGCGCGCTTGATGATCATCGATGATCATCGCGATGATCTCGTTCGAGTGTGCGACGTGACCTCCGAGATCAGCAGAATTGTTAGGCAACCCGAGATGCCATCCGATAGATATAGCCAACCTGCGGTACTCTCGAATCTACATTCTTGATGTATAGAACGGAGTTCACGAACGTAGATTCACGATAAATGAAAAAAAAAGAGATTGATATGCTTTCATTGATCCGCGATATTTCATGATGCGAAATTAGTTCAGGCTAAACTTTCGTAAACACGATTGAATTTTTCACATCTTATCTAAATGTTTGAAACTAATAAGCTTAATCGTCGACGACTTTGGCTGACATTAAATCTTTCGAAGTCACATATCGCCATCAGTTACTAAGGCAATCGGTCAAGGCGATATTATTTTTATTCTCGGCATGTGGGATCATTATATCCACAGCGTAATAAAATACTATTAAAATCTTCGATTTGAAAAAATGTATTTATTTGCAATTCATGCTTCTTCATACAATTTATATCTTCATACAATGAAGATTCTACTTATGTTTAGAGAACGAAGAACGTTTAATTCTCGTTTGTCATTTCGTTTATTGCCGCGTTATATCACACGAGGCTGTAAACGTGTGCAACGTTATTAACGACGCCATTAATTGAGGTATTTAATTCCCCGTTGTAAATCGTAATGTCAAAAGACGATTTATAAAGACCACTTTGTTCCACCAGAGGAGTGGAAAATACGTTTCTCGTAGACACAACAGATGTCGTAAACGCACACCACGCACGAGATAATAATCCATTCTCCACGGATGAAAAGTCAGACGCGAGCCTCGTTTCATTTTCCATCCCATGGAAACATGATCACGATCGCGGCTGACGCTTCGTGAACAAAAATCGAGAAAATCCGTTCACTTTCTTCGATCGGAAAAGGAAGATGGAGTCAATGATCCGTGAGAAATCTCCCTTGTATCGAAGCTTTGTTCGGGAAATCGATATAAATCGATATAAATCATATGATTTATAATTTACGGAAGAATTATATCCTAATGATATCTTCTCACGTTTTCTTTCTTATTTATCTATTTACTTTTTTAATAGATTATTAATTGAAAAAAAATGTCCGTAACAAAGCAATCTTTTTCCTCGGTAAGTTATCTGAAAACATTGCGAATTAAATATTGTTTAAAAGCGTCGCTTCATCGTCGGGATGTTAATTGAACGGCAATCTAATCTTGTCGCGACTTGGAATCCGCACGTCTGGCGGTTTCAAGTAAACAAGTTATTCGACTTATCGGTATCAAGATCCACCTGTTGCTATCCACGCGAATGGTTCTCACCTGTTGCAGAAAAATGATCGCGTTTTAGCGTAACACGATTAAAAAAGATGCTATAATAGATATAGGGACATTCAATTATTGATGTTTTTCATTAAATTAAATGTATTATAATATGTCAGATCACAAGCGAATCGATTTTAGCGCGTCTTCCTTTTTTTTCTTCGAAAAAGAAAAAAATATGAAAAAGAATAAATTCTCAAAAGTGCCAAGATACATGAAAGGACGTCCCGTTCTGACATTATCAGTATTGACTTTGCGATAACACTATTAAGGGGGTCCTCTTACATTAATTACTTGATAACTGATTAAACACGAATTTAATGACGTCCGTTCATTACTTTAATACAGTTTAATATCGCATATTTACGCGATATCACATTATTTTTTTATTGCTGCTCCATCATATCCTGCACAAATATTCTCTTATCGCTTAACACACTGCAATATTTCACAAAAAATAATAGATTAGATGAAATAATTTAATAAAAAAAATTAATAAGAAAATATAATAATTTAATAAGAAGATAATAATTTAATAAGAAAATTATGACAATAGATATAAATGTATATAAAATAATCTTTTTTATAAACTTTTTTTTATAAATTCTTTAAAGAAATTATCGTTAATAATAAATTATCGTTAATATAAATAATTTGCATAAATAATTGAATAATTCGTGTGACAAGGTAAAGAATGAAGGTTGACGTCGTATAATCTTCTTTGACGACAGGCCAGATGTTGAACAATCGATAGCAATTAGCGAAAAATGCAAGATCGACTAAAGAACACGACCGCTATTGTCCCACGCGATCTTAACTTGGAGAATAATTTTAGCATTATGCTCGTTCTAAACGATCGTATCGTAGGCGTTTTGTAAATTTTATAATGTGTCGTTTACAGTCTCAGTCGTCGTTGAAACGAGAAAGAGATATGATGCGTATACAAAAATGTATTATTTTAAACAGTATCGCGCATGATAATTTTATGTAAAGTCATTCATACGCAACACATACTCACATGTGAAATTCATCGTTTGCTTTCATAAGACGTTCGAGAATCGGTCTCACTTCCCGAAGCACTTTCAGCTCTTTTACGTAAAGTCATTATACGGCCGGGCCCTCGATCGATCTCACAGGCGCGCTATAATTTATACCGCTACGCACCAGACGATACTCAATTCTTGATTCAACCTCCGAGAAAAGTACCCCCAGCGACCTTACCTTAAGGCTAATGAATATTGTATAGCCACCTTTCCTGCCCCATCTCGCCTTTTCTCTCCTTCCCCCCTGACCTTTCCTGCAACCGCCGGTTCCCACCCTTCATCTCGGATGACACCCCACGGACCGGGCTGCTGGCGTCGGCGTGCTTTGATCTCGGGGAACGCGGCGAACAGGTAGAAGAAATCGAGAAGAGGACCGGGAGAGCAAAAGAAAGAGAAAGAAAGAGAGCGAGTGCGTATATGTACGCGTATGAGAGAGAAAGACGGAAGAAAGGGACGAGAGGGAAAGAAGGAAGATCACGGCTCGAGACGGAGATTCCACGACGGCCAATGGAAGAGCCGGGCCCGACGCTAAACTCGAGAAAATATGTTTGGAGTCTTTAGATTGAGATCCGGGAGAGAGATAGAATCCTACTCCCCCTCTTCCCTCTTCCCTCTGCTTCCCACCACCTTCCTCTTCCCTGCTGCTTATGATGCGTCCGTGGAACGCCGAAAGAGATTTTATTTCCCTTCGCCGCGCTCCTCCCCCCCTACCCTCCCCCTATTCTTCCCCCTCCCGCAGATCTTTCATTTAGATTTGATTCCCGGTGCTTTCCCTTGGGGATACCATCGGGCCCCGGAATCTTTCGATGGGCCCCGACTCCACCAACCGTGGCGACCATTTCGGTAGCTGTTACGTCCTTTGGGCCCTGTTTACGATGATTGTGAAAAATTGAATCGCTTCTCGCGGATACAAGAGAACTACTCGGCGACGGTTTCGGGTTTAACGTCGCCGCGACTAATAATTTGCTTTCGACATTCCGAATATCTCCTTAATTAAAATTACGTTAAGTTACGTTCTTCTGCCGGCTGGGCGGTAGTAAAATTTGGCGGTACATAAGCGTAACGTTATTTAGCATCGAACTTTCTTAAGGGGATACTTCCAAGCGTTCCTCGAGTGAATTTAATTAATAAAAATTAAAAAAATATATCGTCTCCTCTCTCTCTCTCTCACTCTTTCCTTCTCTTTTTTTCTATCAAATTTAATGGAACGTTGAATAGACGGAATGATTCGCTAACGAACGCGAGTACAATTCCTCTGTCAAACATTCATTAACCTTTTCATCCCGATGGGAAGAAAGCTTCCCTACGGGAAGCCCGTTTCGAGGGAAACCTTGAGAAGAAAATTGGATCGCCCCATGCTCAGCGAGAGACCACTTTCAGCCGCGGCGAGGTGGGAAACCGAATATATAGATCGCGTGGCGCTTTGCGTGTGGTTCGCGTCACAAAAATACGTCAGAACGAATGGAGAGAGGAGGAAAAGGGG